AAAACAAACAAACAAACAAACAAACAACAAAACAAACAAACAAAAAAACAAAAAACACACACAAAAAAAAATGATCAAGTCATGCATTTTATTTGATTAACCCTAGATTATTTCAGAAATCGCCTCAAAGTGTGCCAAAATTCAAAATTGGCGAATGTGAATTTTTATATTTTTTTCATTCGCTTGGGGAAGAAAACATTCTAAAGAATATTTTTCCACCCATATTTTAATTTTTAGCGAGTTTTAAAAGTGTCATATACCCCTGCGAACATGGAAAAATCTATATGTTGCTCCAAAAATGATAAAAGAGGCAACTTTACAATAGGTGTTGAGAATTTATGAAGGGAAAAGCAATCAACTTGATACTGCGTGCACTTCTTGCCTATTGGTAACCCAATTAGAAAATACAATGACCAAATTTATGGAAGCTTCATTTTGGGGAAAATGAGCATTAAATTTCACCAAAAAAGGAAAAAAATTGCAATTTTTATATAAAAGTAGCATGTTTATTAGGATTCCAGCCGTCAACTTCTTAACATTTCTCTTTTCTTAAGTTTTGAAGTCTAATCAACTAAAAGAATGGGGTTTAAGCACAAGTTTACTTAATGGTGCATCGAGGGTCCAGTTAAGGGGGGGGGGGGAATTACCAACATAATAATGGATTCAATGCAGTGCGAGGGAGCGGCGAAATCGAGCTGTGGTGAATCACGTAGGCCTTTCGAGTCATATTATTGTATCCTTACTTTATTGCCCCATGCACTCTTCATTTCTTTTCCTTAACTTTCTCACTGTATTCCCCTCTTTTGGTAGTGATCATGAACCCTTTATGCTTTTGGGGATGAACCCACGCATGGTTTTCTATAATGGCATGGGTTACAGAGGATTTGCAATGCACCCATGCCTCCATGCGGGTTACGCCAATCCGTGATTTTGACCGAAAATAGTGGCCGAGCTTCCGGGGGACACGGGGCACGTTCCCCTCTCCCATCAAATGGCGACTAAAGAGAGAGAGAGAGGGGGGCGTAAAAAGAAGATGATACTATCCACCGAGTGAGACTGATGACCCCTTTCCATAATGCCGGTGCCCCCTCAATGTCTTTGGACCTTGCTACGCCAGTGACCAAAAATTATAGTTCATCTATGAAGAAACTGAGGTTGATATTGAAGAAAATGGAAAAAAGGTTGACTTAAAGCAGATGGCCACCAAATGTCATCTCTAAGCTCTTTATCGTATCGCGACAAAGAGAGAAAAGAAGTGGGACTACTTGACACGTATGCCTTCCACTTTCCTCCAGGGAGGATGCGGAAATCGGCCGATTATGCTAAAAGTTCGCCGAAATCTTCAAGTTAAAGGAGAATACATCAAAATCACCAGAATGTTATAAGTGTGTTTCAGAGTAACATTCCTTTGGAAATAAATGCTGCTGAGAAGGACATACATTTACCATGTATGTCATGAACATTTCTAAATTCAAATCACTAAATCGACAACCCAACATTGTGTAGTGGCCGATCCGGGGGGGGGGGGGGAGCATGATTGCACCGACCCAGGCAAATCACAATCTGGCATACATCAACTACACAATATATCTGAAAAAAACTGATGTGCTCACTACTCTCGACAGATCCCTTGATGCACCTGAAAATGTGATGCTTTTTGTCTTTCTTTTTCACAGAAAATATTATTTGTTATTACCTCACCCATCCAGGCCAGAAAATCTCGGATCAGCCACTGATAGCATAATGTCACTATCATTAGGCCCATAATTGTGGTTACCATTAATTTTACTTCGGTAGACCGACATCAAATCTTTTGGGTTTTTTAATAATTTTGTTTGTTTTTCCTTCCTCTGAGTTCTTTATTTATTTATCAAATAAAAAACATTTCGGTAAATTCGGTTATATAAATCGACAATTATAGAATCATGCAAATATGAAGAGAGTGCGTAACGGCTATAATTACGTTGTTCACCTTTTACTTACTAGTGCATAAATAGATGAACTTCGTCATCAACCACGGGAAATTTCCCTTTAGCAATAACGTTCGTCCTTTTCCCAGCCACGTAAACAAGTTCATCGGATGAGAAATAAGATAAGATTGAAGTCCTTGTCGTCATCATTTAGTCGTTATATTTCAAACCTCCCCGGATCGAATCTGCATGATCTGTGTTAATGTCCCCATGATTATACTGCATCCCATCAAAAGGGGATACGAAACTGTAACTGTTCGAAGAAATTGAAAGATTAAACATTTTTTATTTCAGATTATAATCAGCCTTATGGGAGTACATGGCTCCTCTATAGGAGTGTGTTAAGGGATGGAAAACGTCGTCACATTACCAAAAATAACCATTGAAATAACACACGAATGTCATATAGCTCTTGATTGTTCTTCCTATCATTACCGATGAGAAAACGATATTTGTAATGCTTCTCATGTATGGTTGTCAAAATGAAATGATATCATAAGAGTTAACTAAAGCAGGATAACGGGCATGATTTATTTTTTAAGCAGTGTGCGTCCCCGGGCTAACACTCTGCCACTGGTACAGAGGTTTGTGTTATTCCATATTAAAATGTACGAAAATAACAGATCATAATCCACGTTTTGATAAATTTTGAACGATGTATTACTTGTGAACATTGTCGAAATTGTTGCCATTTGCCCACCCAAGTATAATGAAAGTAAAACTATACTCTGTTCGACAATATTAAAGGGAAATAGCCTATTGGTCCATTTTGTCATTTTCTTCGATACATGTTCCATAAGAGGACGAAGTGTATTCTTCCGTATTGTGTTGTTTCCAATTGTATCAGTCATACACACACAAAAAAAAAAAATCAAAAAAAAAATAAAGAAATGTTAGACTCTATTCTGTAAGACAGTGACATTAAAGGTCCCACTTGCAGGAAAGAAATGAAAAGGTTATATTCCAACGGCATTTGAAAGATAAAAAATAAATTTAGAACCACCCACAAAACATTAGGGCTTTAAAATGTCTTTTTGCGGGAAAATAGTGTCCGTCAGTTGTCGAATCGAATTTAGCGAGCGCGCTCGTATAATTAAATAGTTTGATTTTCAGACCCTTGTGCCGAATGGTCATACGTTTTGTACTGCGCAAAGATTTAATCAGTTTAATTTTGGCCATTACAAGAAGTGGGTTATTGATGTAGACATGTGCTCATGTACCCTTTGCAGCTCATTTTATGTATGTTATTACCAAAGAAAAAAAAGAAATCGGTTAGTCACTGAATAGTGTCTGACAGTGAAGTCTAGAAAGTAAACGGGTTTCTTTGCATAATTTGAATACTAGGACATACTGCTAATGTTTTAATTTCACAGATAGGAAATACGTGATATATTCATAATTCATAGTCCTACAGATTTTGATGTTGACTGCAAAAGGAATACACTACCTTTAAAGTTTTCCGTCCATAAATCAACATTCGTTTGAAACCACTTTTGAAACCAAACATTTCTTAATCCCACTAACAAGACCATTGTTTATATCAAAGGCATATACCAATATCGGTTGTGTCATTCCAATTTCAATCTGCGAGAGAAATGGTATCATTTTGTCACGTCCTGTAGATATTCAAGTAGGTTTGTGGTTCATAACTACGGACTTTATCTGCTTTAAAATGATTTATGGAAGCCACTGGTGATCTTTACACGCCCCGTTGAATTTTGAAGGAAGTTTGTTGAAAACAACCATCCATGAAATTGAACCCCGGAGTAGACTGGTGTTTCTTGAGTCAATTTTTCTGTGAATACATAAAGAGAGAGAGAGAGAGAGAGAGAGAGGCTGGAAGGAGACGAGAAATCTTTCTATCAATATCAAATTATCCTTTATGGATCATAATTATATCAAAAATATAGAGTGCTATTTTTAAATTTTGTATCAATGGGTACTTCTATCTCTCTCTTCATCGTGCATATTTTCCCAATTCGAATATATCAACATTTAGGAATCATGAATTCATAATTCATAGACGCCATCATATTTTTCTTATTAACAGCCAAAAGTTCTGACAGCAGAATATCGTTTCCTTCTCAACTTTTGAACCTTTAATTTGACGATTCGTCTGAGAAAATAACCTACACAGTTTGTGATAAACATATTTCCCCAACTTTTCATTTCGCTCTTCCTTCATCACCTACTTCATGATTCATCTGCCACAGACAATGTTCTCAATTACCTCTAAAACAATGATTAATTTTGATCAGAAAATATCTGTATTCAGGAACACGGGGGATTAGGCGAGGGATGTGGTCAGACGATAATCGCCCACGGCCCCTGTATGCTACATGATTTGAGATATAACAGCAAAGGTTTCACACGAATTATTTTTGATGATGTTATACTCACAGAACTCACAGAGCATGAAATTTGTCCTGTGTTGGAATACCTGTAGACGATTCTAGGTGTCCCAGTGGTGTGTTTTGTTTTAAAATTGCACTCTTTTGCGGAAACCACGAGCGAGACAATGAAAATAAAATAAATCTGCGGTCGGTTTTATAAGGTTAAATGTATTTTCAAGAAGATATTTATATGTTACTCTTGTGACTTTGAGGCAAGCGAAAGGTCCTTGTCTGAAGTGTACCCCAGACCTGGTGCAGGGCCATGCAGTGCAGTCGAGATTGAAAGTGACACGCTGCAATGTGGAATGGAGATGTTCAAATCGACTGGATTATGTGACAGTGCCGTCAACATCTACTTCTGTTCTGCGTAATTTTTCTGAATAGTGAGCATTCCGATTTCGTTTAATATGGAGTAGATATAAATGATCATTATCGAAAAGTACAAGTACTTAATTTGATATATAATGTTTTGTAATGTTATCCGAAGGAAGACTTTCAGAGCCCGCCCCCCCCCCCCCTCCTCCCCCGAAAAAAAATGTAAGCGATGCCTATATCATTTATAAATGTCTACATAAATGATGTGTCATTATCTTCATTATTAACATGACTGTTTGACTTAACTCTCATTTCTATTCAGATAAACGATAATGGACACCATGATAACGAGAAGATGGAAGATGTGTTGGCTTCATCAAACTGTGTTCGTCTCTATCACGTGCCTTCTGACTGCAGGTGAGAATTACATTATTCATCATCTCCTGCTTTAACACGATTAATCTGTTGAAGTGGCTTCGACCCATTTACGGGGGCAGGGGGGGGGGGCACATTTATTTCATCGTAATAATATACCGTTAGTTTTCAATATTATTAGGAAGCATGCACTCTCGCCGCTTCTCGCCGATCCTAGATTCATGTCACCATGCTGTCCGAGCTCTAATTATTTCTAGGTTGGATTATTGCAATAGTCTTTATACTTGTGTATGTGCTAAAGATAGAAGGAACCTTGAAACTGTCCAGAATCGTGCCGCTAAATTAATTTTTGGCATTGGGTCAAGAACTCATACTTCACCCTTACTTAAGGAGCTCAACTGGTTACCTCTCCACCGACGCATTCTGTTTGTATGCTTTCAAAATACTCAATCATTAGGCACCTGAATATCTTAATGACACCCTCCAAATATACACAAACTCGTAATCTTCGTTCAGCAACCGACACATGTAAATTTATCATTCCCAAATCTAGACTCTCAGCAGCTGAAAAACGTTTTGCAGTAGCTGCATCAAAGAATTGGAACAGCATCCCTCTTTCCATAAGGGAAATTACTTGTCTTGCCACCTTGAAAAGATCCCTCAAAAATCACCTTTTCACCCAATGATCTATGCGATATAGTTCCTGTACTGTACATCTTTGTCCTCTTTTCATATATTTGTATTTGTAAGCGCTATGGTACTTATTGTTTTTAGCGCTCCTAAATATTCGATATTATTATTATTATTATTACACAGTAAAAACGCTGCTTAAAAAAGTGATGTTCACTTACAGTTGTACACTATCTTAAACAACAGTTGAACAAATTGTAAACAATGTTGCTCGAAACGAAAGTAATTTTGTTAAACATTCGCTGTTTAAAATTTAATGACTGCTTTATTTACTATACGAGAGCTTTTAGACAGTGTTGTTTACATATGACGTCATGTGTCACGTGCCAGTAAAGTGCGCGTTGGCTAAAAGATTTGTTTCAAATCATGGCCAACCAAGCTGTAGACGTGTCGTGGATGAGTGGAAACGTCGCCGGACTGTCGATCACAAGGTCCACGGTTCGAGTCCCGCCGCGGAACTAATGTCCTATGGCAGCCTAGCATAGCCGGGTAATGTTGGAGCGCCTTGAGGACCTTGCAAGGTCGATACGTGCGCTATATAAGAATCCAATATTATTATTATTATTTAACAACAGCTCCTTTTTAAACAACTTTCTTTAAACAACCCAGTTGGTGTAAACAACCCCCACTGAACAACAGCTCCTTTTTAAACAACTTTCTTTAAACAACCCAGTTGGTGTAAACAACCCCCACTGAACAACAGCTCCGTTTTAAACAACCGTCTTTAAACAACACCAGTTGTTTAAATTGTGATTTTAAACAAGTTGTTCAAAATGTTGATCAACTAAGTGTTTAAACTTTAAACAACTCGAGTTGCTTAACATTTTAAACAACTCTTAGATCAGGTCACCCGTTAATCAACAGTTGTTTAAACTTTTAAACAACATGTTCACTAAATTTTTAACTGTGTATTATTATTATAAAAAAATAAAAAGAAGAAGAAAAAACAAAAAACATGCACACAAACGCACAAATACATTGTCTGTCCCTCCCTCAATAGTATGATCCTGGAAATGCTTCGTGAATAATAAGGATATCATAATATGTACATGTATATCACGTCGTTTTGTATCCCATATTACATATCAACATATAAGTACATGACACAAAATTAAACCTTGCCAACCACTCTACTTCCCACCCCCACCTCTTAACTTGAGATGCATTTGAAGAAGATTCAATCCCGTTGGGAAGATGCTTTTTGGCCCTTGAACTATCATCTGCCATCGGCTTACAATCTTCATACAGGATATTCCTTTTGACACTGTTATTCTGGGAAAAGACTTTGTCAACATGTCTGTCATATCTCAAGGATCAAATCTTTATCCCTTCCATTTTAGAGTAGATCCGTGCACAAGCGTAGCAACCAGGTAGAGACCTTTTAGAGTAGCCTATATACAATCGTAAATTAAGAAGGAAAAGGGGGAGTTTCCATCGATGTATAAAGGAGACTATTTGAAAAAGAAAGTGCATGTGATATCTCAACAATGATATCACGAAATCGGAAAGAAATAACAATAAAACAGAAATATGGCTCTTCAAATTATGTCCGTATAGGACCCTTCGGAAGAAGAGCGAAATTTTGTAAATAACATGCAATGAGCTATATACTTACATCGATAATGTGCATTTTTTGAACTCTTGACAACTAAATTTAACATTTTGATATTGTTATGGAAATATGGAACGAACAAGAACGTAAACAGATGCTTATAGCATTTTGGGGCACTTTGCGAGGGAGCGTTTGGGAGGGGCATTTTGATGAATCGTATTGTAAAAATCGCCCCCAAATTGGAGAATGCTATCATTCACCCCCCCCCCTCCCCCGCCCCACACACACAGACACACACTTTTGAAAATGTTTCCCTGTCTTTCGCATGTTGAAACCCTTGTGAATAAGTAAGTGTCGTGGCCTAGTGGACATGTCGTCGGACTGTGGATCACAATGGTTCGTGGTTCAAGTCCCTAATCTTCTTTAGCAAGACATTGATCAACATTTTCCACTGTCCACCCAGGTATTAAATTGGTACAGGTATGGAGAAATTCCTACGAATAGGTTCTAGATCCTATATGCCAACTTCAGAATCTCACTTCGTACATTATGTTAGCAAAGTATGTCAAAATTACTTCAAAGCTTGAATATCTTGAAACATCCGAACCTTTGAGGATTCATGAAACACGCTATATAATAGAATAATGTGTATAACCTGTTTCAGAGGAAACTAAATGATGAACACTAGAAGAGGAATTTGGTTGAAAATAAAACTATAACAATCGTAAAGTTTTAAAACAAACTCCATTCCTACCATTATGGGTGAGCACGTACAACTACTTTTTTCTTCTTTTACATGATTCTATCTTGGAAATGGTCTGTTATTTTATGCCAGAGTTATTCAAACAGTCTTGATGCGCCGTGTAGGTGGATAAGAGAAACGGGGATAGAGTTGGGTAATGTGGAGTCCAGATATAGGAAGAGTACATTTGGAGAAATAAAAGCTCGATGAATGGGGTGTTTGGGGCTCGAAAAATCATAAAGTAGGACCACCATACCTGAACTCTTGCAAGCCCAATTTGTAGGGTATTTAGACGCATGCTGCTTCCAATTGACACAGGTTAATCGTGTTTGCCAGGTGCGAAGATCAAATCACATCCTCTAGTCTTCTCATCCAGCATTTGCTGGTAACCTCAAAATTAATGGCGCCAAGTGTAGAATTAAGAACGAATACAAATAGTTACTTTCGAAAGTTGACATGACTATGATATGGTCTTATGATTACTATGAAATTGTACAACTTATCTTTTTCTTTGTAGGGGAAATTAATTTAGAGGGAGCATGGAATGAAAGCACTGTATATAAAACAGATAGTTGTCAGTAGATTGTAGACAGTAATCTTTAATGACTGGATGCAAAGTTATCACTAACTGTAGAGTCTGGAGAAGGGATGCTATTGCTTATCAAGAAAGCTCCTGTTTTTATCAATGTAACCTTTATAATAAGACTGAAATATGGAATTTAAGGATGTCTATTATCAATGGGACGGTATACGCGCCTTTCGATACTGCCTGAATCATCGATTTCTACTGCATATGAAAAAGATGGGAAACACACGGAATACACAAGTATTTGAAGAAAAAAGTATAAACTGGCAAGCAAAAGAATAAATTGTTAAAAGGAAAAATATGTCATTCGATTAATAAAGGGGCGAATTCAAAGATAATGCCTTACAGATTTTTGAAATATAAAAAATAGAATGCAAACTCTACAAATCACGTCAAGGGAAGGATTTTTCCTGTCCCTTTAGACTACACGATGATGGTTTTGACATGTCATCTATCTAGAGGATCATCCCCTTTGTGACCTGATGTGACGCCCTCTGTTAGCTCCTGGATCGAACCCTCTTCACATATCAATCATAAATCACACCCAAAAGGACAAAAATCTTCATCCCAGGGACATTTTCAGACCAGCAGGGAATTCCAGCTTGATTTCAATAGTCAATTTATCATTTATCTTTAAATGGTGATTGGTTGACTGATAAATAGTATTACGCCCCCGATGAAGTGTGTGAATGAGAGCAGTGGGAGAGAATCAACAATAGTAATTTTCACAAAAATAAGAATGATAAGGAGAAGGAAAAATCAAACGAAGAGGATATCGGTCGATTTTTGTTTGTATAGTATACTACAGATTGTTTACATAGACGTAAATGGCGAAGGCTGAGGGGGTGAAGTCTCACCCCACCCACCCCCGGCCCCGACATCCTCTTGGAGGTTAAAACACATTGCTTTTAAATCTGTTACCCGTTATACATTTCATCTGTTGGGACAAACAGAAAACATCTTGTGACTCAAGAAGTAGCTGGAGACAGGGATACATTTTGTCACTTTCACTATACCTAAAAAGAAGTTTGAATAATTCGATACCAGTGATGATCCACAGATTGCGTGTTTGAGATACCATGTGGGTCTGTAACCTTTCGGTGATTTTTTATAAAATACTTTATCTCCTCCTCCTCCTCCTTCTCTTTCTTTTGTTTTTGATTCGTTTTTGTTGTCAGAGATTTGTATGACATGTAACCGGCTAGAGATGGTTGGCGGAATTTGCGAAATGTGCTCCGAAAAGAAATTACCGTCCGAAGAATATCACACCCTACCATTTTTAGATATTACAGCATCTGTCTCTGTATAAATTCGGATATCCACAAAAACAAAAGAATAAGAACAAACCCGTGTGCTACTTTGATTTGTCTCTTAATAATTCATATCTGTTTGAGTTACTGCTCAACTTTCTTGGAGCTATACAGTTAGGGTAAGCGGTCAGGCGTTGGCAGAATTAGAACGACCTATTTGAGACACCATGTTCTAGTTAGCCCATAATTGGATCCATATTATGTTGATTCTATAGTTGCAATGTCAAGGATGTTTTTCATCATCTTTCACCGTCCCCTTGTCAAGCAAACCCATCCTGATTAATTTCCGCCATACGAGAAAGATTTGCACATAGATGATTGTCCCCAGACAGGGAAAGAAATTAATAAATGATGAGGGTAATTTGAGTCTAATCAGAGACACTTGATCAGGTGGACCCGAAGAGTCACAAGATAGAGTTTTGCTGTTCAAGTGGGTGTATCTTGGTTTAAGGTCCATAATTATGTTCATGCATTGTTGTGTCAAAGCAATGGAAATTTGTATTATTTAGCATGGGGGGGGGGGGGCATATATTGAAACAAATATCATATTCAGCAAAAACATAGTTCAATAACAATTAATACAATCTTTACAATCGTTATATTATAGATTAAGATATACATCAGTGGCGAATCCGGGGACACCCTTCTTCTAGTCAGAAATGTTTCTGACTTTGCCCCCCCCCCCCTTCCCACCATGGACAGAAAATCCTAGATACGCCACTTCACATTAAGGTTGAAGACATTTCGAGAGAATCATGGTCAAATTACTCTTCATAAAGATGATAATGTTAACGAGAAGATATTGTTTCGTTTTATTTTTCCTGACTGGCAGTTCTCGCTAATTCCCATCGTCATCAAGACACCCAATCTTCATCTACTCAGGTGCCTCTGATGTTATCAGGGACGTATGCTACTAGTAAGGTCAGTTTTTTTTATTTTTTATAAATGTCATCCTTGATCAATTTGTGTGTGTGTGTATATTATTTAGTAATTGTATATTCATGTTGTTTGATCCGTTTGCTTGCTTAATATCAAAACAATTAAATTATTATCTTGCCATACTAACTGTTAATACCCGTTTTAATTATCGTTTGTGTGTTTTATATATTGAATGAGCATTAGAAAACACGGTTAAACTTTAAATGTCGGTGATGGCTCTTTTAATGAACGAGTATAATTAACATATACAGCTATATAGCTGCAACTTACCTCATAGACTTTTCACACAGTAACAGTCATTATCTTTTATAAAGTCCCTATACATTTAGGGCCCGACTCCATCTTTAATATGTTAATCACTGACAAAACAAGAAAACTATTTAATGCGTCAAACGAATATAATTATTCGTCACTTATAGTTAGATAACCAATGTTTTGAATCATACAGGTATTGCGGTCATACAACGAAACGACAGTTTACATAGCGGCTTTCGGGCAAGACTTTGTATTGGATGTTCAAAAATCAAGGTATGAAATATGTTAAACAAGTATAATAATCAGTATCAATAGTATGGGCAAATTTCTGATATATTTTTTTTAATACTCTGTGATCGTGGATGATAGTAAGTTTTAATATGTTCTTTATTTTTTGTTCAGTTTTTTTTTGTTCTCGTTTTCCTGTATGTGTGTTTTTAGGGGTATGCTTTTATATAAGGAACTTCCCTCCTTTCTGCCTATCCCAAATGCTCTTATAAATTGCCATTGTATTTGTTATCACTTTCTTGTGTTTTTTAAATATTTTTTATAACTCCATTCTGTATTTGTATGTTTTAAATGTTTTTATGAAGAGTGTTGAATAAACTTTAAATTGAATTGAATGTATTGCCCTGTATGTGTAAATGTGATTACTAGTATGTCTCTAAATTACTTTTTAGTGTAAACTGAATGTAATCAGGCCTACGAGCGGCAATGCTCGATATATTTTCATAAAACTCTGATTTTTTTAATCAGAACATTCCAACCACAGAGACGTATCCCAAAGATATTGGATTATCACTTGGCTATCTTTTTATCTAGTAATATCATTTCGGCAAATTTTAAAAAATCGAGAATTTTCTTCAAAATGGCGAAGTATCTATATTCAAACTAGTATAAAGGTTAAACATTGCATTCGTGTGAAATACGTATTGGCCTAAAATACAGTTTATAGTTCAACTTGTCTTTCATCACAGGAATTATTCTGTTTTGCAGTCAACCGTAGAAACAATATACAGAGCGCTTGATAAACCTTTTAGACGTAAAACAACACTGTCCGTAAGTATTGGTATTCTAATCAGATTGAGTTTGTTCTCCTTTTCTTTTTTTCTTTTTTCTTGTTGTTCGTTTACTCAATGGTTATGTCTTTTCTTTATTATATATTCTAGGGACATTTTTTTTATTTTGATAAAACAGCAAAACAGCAATGCCGAGGCATTACAGGAAAATCCAACCTTAATAGACAATTACTCTAAAATGGAAACGTAAAGAATTAGAAGCAGAATGATGTTAGTTTGAATAAAATGGGACAAAAACATAAGAAAATTGTAATTACTTTATATACATGACTTTTGTATGTGTACTTCAAAATGGCTGAATCGGTAGTCTCACTGTGACGTATACTAGACAACTTTCCAATTTGTTTCATCACACAAAATGATTAAAATATCATTTTAAAAGAGACTGATTCAGGAGGGTCTATTCTTTTTAGAGGACCTAGTTTGCTCACCTTGTTAATCAACAATAAGTTGTTTTCTTCTTTCTTTCTAAAATTTGCAAATCTTGGATGGATTGAGCAAATTGTATGAATGATATGCAGGATATGTAGATTGTTTTATTTCACCTAGATAAATCCAGGGAGTTAATCCCAACTCCGACCCTGATATATCATTAGTTCTTACTCTGAAAAACATACTTTGTTCTATGGTGGTCATACTACGCAAGCGCACAATCTCACAGCTGATTTCCCGAAAGTTTGTGATTGAATGAAGCGCAGTCCATAAAAGGTAACTATTCGAGGTCTTAAGCTAATGATATTATGAAATCATATAATTGATCTTGATGGTATTTGTCTTATCAAGTCAAGATCTAATTTAGATGTGCTGGTAAGCCCGATGATAAAGGATATTGTGCCTTTGACTTGTCCACAATGTTATTACAGTCCCATGTATTGCTTATTCTGTCTGCAAGGTAGTGTATAACTCGAGGGAGCTCAGCTCAGACGCCGACGCCGAAGGCGTCGGAGCTCCAGAGCTCGTACAGGAAAACGATTCAAACAGCGTGTTGGGTCACATTTTTTCGAAATATGAAGAGGTAGTAATTACAATTTTGACTTTCGATATTTTTTTTACTCCTCTGGGCATCGTTCCAACTAGATCTACTTGAAATTATAGTTTGATTTTGAAGAAGTCTTCAATGGGAAAAAGGGTTCAATTCTTCGTCCTTACCCGGCCGACGATTCATCCATGTTGAATTGTCGATTCAACATGGCGAAGAGAAAGTACGCAGGCGCAGTACTTTTAATTTGTTTTTCTTTACGAGCTCTGGCGACGGAGCTCCCTGGAGTTAGGTAGTGTATTATTAATGGTTTATTTTTGTTTATAAAACTTTTTTACAGGACGGATGCTTTTTTCACGGTAATATTCGTGGAAGGAGAAAATCTTTCGTTTTTCTAGATGCCTCTTCAGGAAGCATATGGTAAGAAATCTGCAAAAGAAAAACAGTGCCTGTTTGTTGTCTTTGGTAGTAGCTTACATTTGTAAGGTATACTAGTTTACTATTAATATAAAAAGATAAATATAAACTAGTCCAGACCCTAGTCTAGTATTATTGAAATGTACCTTTAAAAAAAAAAGTTTTCACATACTATTTCTTGCCCTTGACTTTATGATGTTAAAAGACCTTTAACAATTTAAGCTGTTTTCTATTTTATGAATATTCAAAGTGGTGTGTTCACATTGGTTCAAAATTTCATCATCTTGAAAATAGAGCAAAAAAAACATCAACATGTAAATAACGACTATACAGGTCACTAGTCATCTAACACACCAACACTAACCCTAACCCTATTTTATCATGTTTTTTATTAGAAATATCATTCTCAGCTGTACCCATATTTTTTTTCTTTCAACTTGGGTGGCTGTCACAAAAGGAAGTCTTTCTCAAATTTCATTCACAATGCAGATGAATATATATATATTTTTCCTTTAAATCTGAAGTGGCACCATCTATGATGGAAATTACACTTACATCATCACTGAAGCAACAAAGGAAAGTCCTGTATTACATCGATTCACAAGACTGACTTCGGTTGAAAGACCCCGTCATGAAAGAAGTGAGTTGGAAAAGAATTTATTGCCTATTATGAAAACTATTTAAATGACTTGTCTATTGTGACCATGTGTGTAAAATGTTGCCATAATCCTTGTGTGTTCTATTAATGTATGCCTTTCAAGTAGATAATATGAGTTTAAAGTAGGCAAAGCAAAAGTATGTTAACTTTCAGAAATAGTCATTTTGTTTGTGCTCAATAATATCCCTAAAACTCTAAACATCTTTATGCAATGATTGCCAGATATATTGACCATCTTGTGTACATCCAAATCGTAACAGCAAATAAAATATACATTAAGTTTTCAATTGTGTCATGATTTGTAGTTTTATGTACACCTAAAGTCACATAATTCATGCTCAAAGATAACTTGGTATTATTGGGCAGTAGATCTAGACATTGAATAAAACTGACTTGTTTCAGGGCAGGATCCTCCAGGGAAGTTCTGGAAGCGATGGAGAAGACAAGTCAGGCAGATCACACAGCCCTCTGCTATTCAACTGGAAAACAAGTACCTAGAGTTGTACATTGTACATGACCATCAACAGGTATTGAATTTGCAAACCGTCAAAACTATCTTTGCATAATAATACTTGGAAAAATAATAGTATACCTAGGAGAAATGGTGTAATGAGGCATCATTTTTCTGTGATGCTAGTGAAGTTTATCATAAATTGTTAGATTTAAATTATGGTACACTTCTTTTTCTTTTTGAAGATGGATTTTGATAATCACCTTGTTATTCAAAATATGAACTTTAACATTCATCTGTGTTTTTGGCTACATAAATCGTTTTTATACCCTAGATGTCAGAAACTGAAGTATGATGCTCTAGTGAGATAGAAGGAGAGAGAGAGAGAGAGAGAGGGGGGGGGGGTGGTTTAAATTCTTACATAAAATTCAAAATTCATGGAAACATTGAATGAGAGGCGTGCCAGAATGGAACATGACTTTTAAACTACAATGTTTTTAGACTTCTCCAGTCTTTTAGAGTTTCAAACATTTATTATCAGAATGTCTTTTTTCTGATGATCAATTTTTAAAACTCAACCTTCCTTTCTCTCAGTTTTTGGACAGCAATAGGAACTCAGAGACCTTGAGAAATATGTCAAGTACGCTTACTCACCTCCTAGCAAAGGTAATCTTCTTCTCAATTATTGTTTTATAGTATACAGTAGATAATAATTACATTTATTTCATGATGATCTTAATCAAAGCTTTAGAAATTTAATTGTGATAACAGAGGTTGATACGATGTGATCTTTTGTATGATTTTAATGGCGGTCTTATGAAAGGTGTTCTAGCATGCATCTGATCACAATTATTCTAGAAACAGTAATCTGTATCTGTTATTGTTATTGTTACTGTTGCTGACTTGTATGTAAAAAAGTGCACCAAGCAATGAGTAACTAAAAAGGGAAATCACTTGTATATTGAATATCTCTCATGCAATGTGTTCTGTAAATATTTCCAAGTCAGTGTCAAATGGTTGTCAAATTTTTATTTTTGTTGTTGAAAATTTCAATCTTATAACAGAATAGTTTAAGATACATAAAGATTAGTCCACAATTCTTTTATGTACATAACCGTGAGATGAACGTGTAGTGCTCAATAACCAGTCCATAGAGGTAATAACCTTGTTTTTTCTACTTCATCTCAACTTAAATTGACATTCTAAATTAGCGTTAACAAGTGTTGATGAGCTTATTGTTGATTATTTAATGTAGGTGTTTCAAGATGTCAACATTACAATATCGCTTGTTGGTAGTGAAGTATGGAATGAAGGTGATGAGATAACAGTGAGCTCTGATGTATACACCACTCTGGATAACTTCTTGACATGGAGAGAGGAAGTGCTCTTACCTCAACAGTCACATGACTTTGCTCTCCTCATATCGTAAGTAGACATAATTATAAAAATATTTCCCAGGTTAGATTTTATACTAGAACAAGATGGTACCATGAAGGTTGTAGAGAAGCACTGCTTTTAACGCATTGATTATGGGCCCGGGATGGTTCTTGCATTGAGGGACCGAGAGAATTTACTAGCCAATGGGTAGAAGTTTGTGGCAGACATTTCCAAAGCATCAAAGAAAATGAACCAAAATGATTCCAAAATTGGTATGAAATGGAGCAGAAATAACATGGACATGATCTCTAAGTAGAATGTGTATCACAGAAATAGAACGTGAATAGATTTAGAACATAGTTTGTCTTGCCTTATTGAGAGTTGTAGTATACATGCTACCAGTCAAACTTAAAGGTCATGATCTGGTGCAGCGTGTTTCAGCCGGGGTGCTCTAGACAAAATTATTTTGGCATAACGTTGATACAATTTTCTGAAATTAATGCTCTAATAGGAGTTATTTGTTTGTTGTTATACATTTTCAACATTATGCATTTCATGCATGTTTCCTCCCATCAAACATAAAAATCAATGCCAGATGTGTTTTCAAGAGTGGTTCATTCTGAGACCTCCTGCAGGAATAGTTGACCCTAATCATCTGACAGCCTAAGAGTTGGGAATCTCTCATGCCAAATGAATAACTAGCACCTTCTCTTCAGAGATCATTGACCTTTATTTGGGAGCCATATTTAGATGAAACGGATTCCATGAACAAATAAACACATCCACAGACAAATCCATAAATCTGTCACTTGTTCTTCCTTCTTCCTAAAGGAAATTGGGAAAGATCTGCATTGTATTAGATCTTATCTGGGTATAGTGTGGATGGCCTCATTACATTGTACGCTTATGTATTTCAGTCCACAGTGGATATTTAGACTAAAGTATTGGTAACTTAGCGAAATATTCTGCCATGTAAAGATGCATCTGCAACACAAATGAGAAGATTGTGAGAGATCCTTATTTCATTTCATAGAGGCAATACCATAATGTTAGTGTGTAGAGTTAGTGTATCAACAACTCCAAGGTATGGCCCATATGTTACCAAGTATTAATCAATTTGTGTCTGTTTCAAGCTTTACTAGGGTATTGGCTTGATAGAGTCATCAGATATACTGACATAATACATGTGGTAGGTAAGGTATGAGACAAGGTCACTCAGACTGCCAGTCTGCAATACATATTTTACTGACTCCATCAGATTAAATAATACAAAAACTGTTATTCAGATATAAGTTGAATTATAATTTAACTTGACAGAGCTAACAATAGCACTTTTGCATTCTGGATGCCTCTTTTTATGCCACTAACCATTGCTTAGCTACCTTGGCCTATTGAAAATTACCTCCTCTTTTAATTGGGTCAAAGAGAAACCAGTATCGCTGTAATTTGATAAACTGAAAATTTGATTCTCAAGGTATTTTAGTCTTTTTTGTCTTCCATAACTGAAGTGTCAACAGTTCTTATGTTTAAATATTGTCAGGTCACAGTGATACCAAGGGATATTGTGGTCAACTTGTTTTTTGTTGAAGCCATCTGGTAATTTTCAAATCTGTTTTCAACCTTAGACATTTCCTTTATTTGGCCAAGGAAATCTAACTACCATGATTCCTACTTAGTGTAGGTGTGATGTATTATAATAAAAAGCAGGATGTATTACAATAGTTGAAAAAGTACATGTACTTATACAAGATTTATAAATAGTATAGATGCCCTTGCAGATTTGTCTATCTGGTCTTGTTTTGTTTGTTTTATTTTTGTTTTGTTTTTGTTTTTAAGAAACTAGGGCAAATAAATATGTCAATCTGGCTAGTTGCCACTCTTGCTTATTTTGAGCTATATCTATGTACTTTAGTAACCATGCCTACTGATGAATGTGCTTTATACCTGTACAAGCAAGTTCAGGCAGTTTGAAGAATAATCCCTCTCGATATGCACATTTATATCACATTATTTACAACTTGGTCTCCAAATTCTGTACCATACTCTAGATTTCTTTGTGTCTATACTTGCAAGATGAATTTGAAAGCTTTACAGAACTATGAGAGAATCTTGTTAATGCCAGTGATGTTAGATGAATGTGTGCATAAGCTTTTTTAAGCAGAATTCAAATCTTTGATCCCCAAACCTCAAGTACTGTAGATTAGAATGATTGTTTTGTACATTACCATCTGGTTCGGTGGTAAGCGCTTTATAAGTAACGTTTTTGTACATTACCATCTGGTACATTTTTTGTATTCATGCTATGTTGTTGTGACCACCTAACAATCACCCATGGGCCATCCACCAAAATGTATGTATTAATATACAGTGGTGTGAATTTTTAATGTTGATATTTACCTTTGGGTATATGCATACAGTAGAGAAGGGCTTGATACTAACAAGAGTCCAGTACATACAGGCCCCAAAACTTTTACTCTTGACCCTTAAAATTACAAAAATAAACACAGGGGCATCATGTTGCAAAAGGGACACCAGAGTATCATCCCAGTCTCCAGACCCTCATTTAATTAGGAGATAGTGTGGAGCCCTGTTACAGAGCATCCCAAGTTGTTCTGAGTAGAAATGTTCATAGAAACTGAAATTACGATTGTTTGTTGTTGTTGTTTTACAGAGGAACCACGTTTATGCATCACATGAAGGCTCATACATACCATGGAGAGATGTGTTCACAATCACACTCTGCTGCAATCCTTGAAGTAAGTTCAACGTTGATTGTCCTTGATCCACAGATACTGAATGGTTCCAGCATTCTTTATTGTGAGGTTCCAAATATTTTTGATAAACATGGTTCTGTTTTTATGTAATCATGTGTCTTTATCTTAATATCACATAACAAATTTTTTCTTGTATGAATGTACTGTGTACCACATTTTAATTGATTGTCAAGTATCTGTTTGGGACATTTGGAGTATCCAACTTTTACATAGACATGAATTTTATCGCAAATTATGATGTCAGACACATGCTGGCTTTAGCCCCCGTTTCCCTGGAACACTGAAAGCATTCAAGGTATAACTTCCTGCCAAATACCCTTTTACCACACCTGGATGGAGAGTGGCAAATGTAGTAGATTAATGTCTTGCCAATGGACTCAATCAGTTAATCATGTGATAGACTCATCCACTAGACCATGGTACCAATAAAAAAGACGGTTGGGATGGATGTTGTTATTACAGTTCTCATTTGGATAAGGCAGTTTATTTCTTTATAACACTTTGTTGATGTATTGATTCTTGACAGGATTACACAGATGACATTGTTCAGATTGCTAGTGATGCAGCACATAGCATTGGTCATAACATTGGACTCATGCATGATAGTCAAGACTGTAGCTGTGATGATGATACTGGATACTGTGTCATGGATGTTGTCAAAAGGTACGTCACAGATAGCAAAATTAGTTGAAAATCCAGAATAGATTAATGAGTTTGTTTGAAGTTAGTTGATATCACATGAAGAAAGGTCAGTTAATTTACCAAAGAGTATGATCTTATCTCATTTTTTTAGCATATGTTTTCAAAAATTATAATCAACATATTCATTGTCTTTCAATTACTCGTTTACGAATTAATCCAAGTTCAAGTGATTTGATGAGTGGATCTATATTGAAGTATGAAGGATGTGAAAACTACCTTGCAAAGATTCTTATGTTTTACACAATTTCAAGTTTCCAATGCTAGGGTATAACATACCAAAAGGAATTATTCTCACCCTTCTAGCTTAATACTGTACTCCCCTATATCAGGTAAGAAGTTCAGTTGGTTGTTGTGGTATTATATTCCTTTACAGCAAAATTGAATACATGTAATTATAATAAGGTGTAAACGAACAACAACATGCAACAGGGATAGAGCTGTAACAAGAAGGATCATATTTTTCATCTGTATTCTTAGAAAGCAGCCTCCAACCAAGTTCTCCTCTTGTTCCAAACGACTGATAGCCAACCACTACAGAGTTGGTCGTCTCGACTGCCTGAACGACCTACCAGCTATCCCGAGGGGACCACTTTGTGGTAATGGATTGTTGGAAGAAGGAGAGGAGTGTGATTGTGGCAAACCACAGGTAATTGCAAAGAGAAATGGTTGATCAACTCTCTCCTTGGTGGTAGATTAATCTAGGTCTGTTTCCTGATCCAGGCACTTTCTAAACTCATTCACTAAATACTCATGTGCATGTATAGTCATATATGTCATGACTGTAATAGTTCAATAATGTTGACTGGCCTTGGATTGTATTGCCTATGTATGTGTATAATCATATTGCCTCAGTCAAAGATGAGGATATTATGGTTATATCCAAAGTTAATAGGTCATGTAGGCTCATATATTTATCAGCTGAAAATGAGCCTTTCAGTATTATCACTATAACTTTTCCATGTATTACTTTCATTAGTATCATAAATAAGGTACAAATTTGCAAATGACAGGCCGTAGAAATTGTAATTAAAAAATGTATCGTGTGAATGTGAAATGTCTTTTCCCTTTTTCTTGAAAAGGAATGTGAGGATGTATGCTGCCTATCCAGTGAGTGTCTGAGGAGAAGAGACTGCTCCAGGAGATCCAGCCAGATACTGGCTGCTGCAGAGGTAGTAACGGCTCCTCTTGACCCTCCCGATACAGAAGAAAGGGAGACCTCTCCCTTGACCGATGGTATTAACTACCCTTTGGAAGACCAAGCCATCAATACCAGGGGTCGTTTAGTAGATGAGACTGTGGAAGAAAGGTTTAACACCATCAATGCAAATGGGGTGGTTGCATCTGTTGTTCCTCAGCCAGGTCCGACAGAGCCTGCAAAGCTGACCTCTCCACAGATTGTTGGGACTACAATGACTGAAGCAGCCGAAGAGGTTGTTGATGTAGAAGGGGAAGATTTGGACAACGGTGTGATCGCTACAAGAGAAGCCCTGACAGAGGCGGTAGTGAGTCGGAACATTACTGGCGATGTAGATGGTGAGCAAGAGGAGTTTGTTGCAATTGCTGCAGACGTGGAAGCAACCTATGATTTGGACATAAACAACAACACTCCTACCAGTGAAACATCAATTCCTGATGAAAATTCTGTAGAAACATCATGTGATGTGGTCTTGACTTCTGATGGATCCCAGGACATTCTTGGAGACCGTGCCAGTGTAGCACAGATCATGGAAGAATTAGGACAGTCAGAGCTACCAGAACCACCAGCTTTTATTGTAGAGCCAGAACCAGAGCTCTACATAGTACGTGCAAAAGATCTACAACTACATTGTGAAGCCTCTGGATCTTCAGTCATTGGGTAATCTATGAAAAAATACATATGTATCTTTTACTTACCTTGGAAATATTTGAGTGGTCAGTTGTGTCATATTTAAGACTAATCTCACCTTTCAATTAGTTTACTTCATTATCTAGCAACAATTTAGATTATTGATGATCTTAGATTAAATTTCATTCTATATTTTATCGTCATCATGTTTCTAGCTTTAAAAACTCTAGATTTGCCAACATCAGATTTCATGTTTTAATTTTGAGAAGTTGATTTACAAATAGTGTAAAATGCATAATGCATTTGATGCATTCACCTAGTAGATGAATCTGTTATTTGTGATTTTTTAAAGAAGATTTTAATGAAACAATTTGAGGTACATATATAATTGCAGCATTGATCTGTGCATAGTTTGGCATGTTTTCATGATACACTTTGATATCCCAATTCTTTTATCCACAGCTATACTTGGTTAAAGGATGGAGAAGAGCTTGACATCCAGAGTGATCCCAGGATGATTCTTAACCATGGCAACCTCACCATTCAGTTCCCTGATTCTGGTGATATAGGCATCTACCGGTGCTTGGTTTCTAACATCTACACCACCATTGTGTCATCTGAGAGCTCTGTTAGACGTGCTTGTAAGACATCTTTTTTATTCGATTTAAAAGGATTTAGCCAATACAGGTACCTATTGTGGTAACTCTTACTGCACTAGTGCTGCAGTTTTTCACAAGTAATACATGTTTGAGATATTATGTTGAACTGTGTTGTGTCTAGGGTTCAAAAAGTTTAATTGCTTTATGTAAAAATCCCTCTGTGTTTGAAGTAACAGGTACATGCATTTTTCAATCATAAAGTACCAATTTCACAGTGATACAAGTCTTTTGTATTTAATTTTTAGTTAATATCATTTTTCAACCTATCCATATACTGATTCAGAATAGTAATCTTGATTTCTCCCCTCCCTAAAGAAAATCTGATGAAATGTAAGGTTCAAAGCCAAAACTGCTTACTGTGATTAAACATAGCAAAATAACCCTAACATTTTGTCCTTTAGATTTTAAATTTGTACTGCTTAATGTAACTTAGTGAAATGTATTATTTTTTTATTAAAGAAGTCATATTCTTTCATTTCAAGAAAATTTCAGCAAACATGAGGAGTTTGAGAAAGCATAGCTTATAATTTAAGCTAAGATTAAACATTTCGTATTGCCTCAATTGAGGAACCTTAGCTTTGTTCAATTCTTGGCTAAACAAGTGTACAGACAGTAAATAATGAGATACTGTACAGGTATTTCCCTTATCTCTCCTATCCTCCAGTCATGGGGAGCTTCTCTCCTGGTCCTGGCACGATACGTGAAGTAACCGTGGGTATATCAGTGATCCTTGCCTGCAACCCCCCTCTCAGTGTACCAAACCCCTTGGTCATGTGGGCTCTCAACACCTCGGCTGAACCCATCAACTACAGCCGACGAGTATCCCAAGATCCTAAGGGTAACCTGATCATAGCGTCCGTTGAGGAGCAGGATACAGGGCTCTATTACTGCATCGTTGTCAACGAGATCATGGAGCGGAGGATTGAATCGCCCAGAATAAACCTCATCATAAGGAGTAAGTCCTTGCTTTCAGTCTCCTAGACTTTGTTTGATATATTTCTTCTTTTGTGTTTCGTGTTACTACTTTACAGGGACAGGTTACGGTTGGAGAGCCATATGGAAGGGCATAATTTTCAGAGTTTACAGTCCTTTTCTTTGCACTAATTTAATTGAGAGTGCCTACTATCTAGTGTAGATAATTTTTCTCTGGAGGATGAAATGTCCCTATGATAGTATGTTAAATAGAGGCCCTGTGTATAGAAGAATTACCCCCTTTGAATGTTAAGATCCCACAACACAATTCATATAAGAGTTGGAGGAAAATTTGGTGTTGCAGTCCACCAGCACTAACCCATTCTGTTACACCGGGAGAAGAGACCCTGAGGGTCACAGTGATTCAGTTTGCTTTTACCCCTCCCAGGCACAGATAATGCCAAATACTTGATGGTATTACTAATAATTATATGAAAATCAATTTTGTGTTGTATAGAGCCAGCCCAGCCTCCTGAAATGGTGTACTACCCTGAGACCACTAAGGTAGGACTGGAAGGAGAACAGCTTAGTCTCAAGTGCCTTGCTGTAGGAAGGTAAGACATTCAATAAGAAAGTTACCTTCATGTACAAATATGTTATAGAAAATATAATTTTATGTTTCATATGATTTAAATGTAATGCTGCTTTCTGGTTTTTCACTTTGCCACTCACTTATCTTCTTTTTCTCTCTTTTCTTTTATGTGTCTATGTTACTCTATTATCCCTCTCTCTTTTATAGATGATACAGTATTATCACTTAATTTGAAGTTTAAATCAGCCCTTTAATGGATTTTTGTCGAAAAGTTGTATCTTGAAGATTTAAGGTTATGTAACAAATGTAGGATATGGATTTTGTTAAAAATGCAAGTTGAACATGGAAAATCATAAGGCAAAACTTTATTGAGCATTGAAATGTACAAGTAAATGAATGTTTCTTTGAAAAGGATATCTGTTTAAATTCAGCCCAGTTCCACAGATATGGTGGGAGAAAGAAGATGCTGAGCTGCCCCACAATCGTTCCTCTCATACTAGCTTTGGTCAAGAGCTGATCATCTCATCGTTGAAGCTGGAAGATGCTGGCTTGTATCGCTGTATAGCTGACAATGGTGCTGGGGTCAGAGCGGAGTCATCTGTTACTTTAACCGTCAAAGGTATACAAGATTGTGAACTGAGAAGGATGTATGTTTGTATTGTATTCATCTCTTTGCTAATTGTTTATTAACCAAAGTGGGTAGATAAGTAGTAGGTATAAACTTGTAATGTTTTGTAGAGGATCTTAGATTTTTAAAAGCCTTTCAGAGGGACTATTTGAGAGGGTACTAGAACTGCCTTATTGGACCTGGGTTACCCTGTTCTAGTTATTTGTATATGTTCTTAGCCATATCAACTCTACCTTATTAGGAACTATGATTCTTGATTCTGTGAGAATCGTTGCATTTGCATATATTCTAATTTGATGTGATTTATTTTTTATGTGAATCACCTCTGGCAGGGTTAGATTCATTGAATGAGTATTATCAACATGTTGTTCTGTATATTGAAAACTACAAGTATTAAGTATTCAGGAATAGAATATATACAAGGGTTAAATAGCTAAACTGAATAATGTTCTAGTGTGTCATACATTATGATTATGTAGTGGAAAATTTATTATTACCAAGATCTTAAAAACCTTAACATCATTACTGCATTGTTAATGAACTTCATAGGATTGAGCTATTATTTTAGTATTTAAAAAAGTACATACCGGTATTAACCTATTATGTGTTTTGACTGCAGCTTCCCCATACTGGGAGTCAGAGCCTGTGAGTCTGACCGTCCCTGTTGGTTCCCCAGCCTCATTCATCTGTGTTGCTAGAGGAGACCCTACTCCAGCAATCACATGGTTGATTAATAATCAGCCTGCTGATGAAGTCAGTAAGTAGACATGTTATAGAGAATATATAATTGGATGCTATTATTTATAGGTGTTATTTACCGAAAGATAAAGGTGTTATTTACCAAAAGATATTCAATAGAAAATTAAAATGAAAAAACAAATATGCCTCTAAAATGACTTATGTAGATTTTAGTCTATGTGTTTGACAAAGGGGCAAGATTAAGTCCTGATAGTGAAAAAACTTGCGTGTTTTTTAATCCTTGTTAAAAAGAATCTTTTATCCAAGAATATTTTATGTTGTCTTTTGCAGGATGTTAATATATCAGAATAATCTTGATATCTAAGATATCAGTATGTTCAAATATTGTTAACCAGATAACCAACCATGTTAAAGACCTATATCTCTTTATAATTAAGGTAGTTGTTAGTATGAATCAATCTTAATTAATACTAATGACTTTTGCAGTATAGTTAATCTGAATTACAATTTGATTTGTTATCACAGGGTTACTCCTATAATCATATCTATTGAGGTTTTTAACAAGTTTTGTTAGTATGTGTATTCAATATGCTCACTTTGTGATGGGGTGTATTCCCAATTAACAGCGCCCCCATGTTGTGAGTATGGTCAACAAACCTTCCCCAACCAAAAATTCTGATTAAATCCCTTTATATCCTAGGGTATATATTACAAAGCCACTGCTGATATTTTTGTTCTCCTAATGCATGATATAAATTGATTAAACACTGGCACCCCTAGATGCATGGTGCTGTGGATTGTGAATCCACTGTATTGCTGTATGGTATTAAAAAGAGAAACTTGGTGAAACAAGTCTTTAACATATTTGTGCACATTACAGGTGAAGCATTGAAACTAGACTTAGTTGCAGAGCCGGGGCATGGTACTTTGAGGGTGAATAAAACCGTAGATGTTGACAGTTCCTCAGCGGTCCAGTGTGTAGCAAGCAATAGATATGGGACCATTATCAGCAATGCTCACCTTACAGTACTAGGTGAGTGCATGGGAATTAGGTTTCTTAATTTTCTCCCATATTTCATGTGCCCATCCTCTAGAAGTTCTTAGTTTTTTAATTTTTGATATGTTTTTTAGAATGCTTGCGGCAATATTATCATTTGATGTGTAATTAAAGGTGCTGCATATGTTGCAATGTGATTTCAAATCTTAATTATCAATTATCATTTAAAACAAATACTTCTACCACTGAATGTCCTAGTGGAGGCATGTGAATGTTGATATATTACCTGTTCATCTGGAAAATCGGTAGTACACCTTTCTAAATTTAAGTAAAATTTCTCTAATTTAAGTTGTCAATTTAATTGATTGACATTATTTGTACATGATAATAAATAAAGTATTTATGAATTTCTTGTAAAACCTTTCAGGGGCATATTAGAGGCACAGTCGCATTCACCCATTGAGCCATGACAATACAACAGCATAAAGTTGGAAGAGCAGTGAGACATTCATGATGGAGAAAATAAATTAGATAAAAACACTAGTGTAAAGGCGTATTTCACATTTTCAGTCTGAAAAATTATTGAAAAGTTCTGATTCTGCTGCTACCATGTTAATGTATTTCTAGACTCCTATGAATGGAAGTCAATATACAATATACTGAGCCAGCAGTAGAGGACATAAATGATAATGACATATGCAACCATTTTGTGATGTACATGTAATTGTTGCTGTCTTTGTTTCTCCTATGCTTAGCACTAGCACCAGTGTTCCGAGAGAATGCTCCATCTGAGGTGCTTGTGTTGGAGGGTGAGACAGTACGCTTGCCATGCCAGGGGTTTGGAGCTCCTAACCCAACTGTCGCATGGTGGAATGGCTTGGGTGACAAGGTAATTAATAAAATAAAGTATTGTAGTAACAAATATTTCATATCTTCATTCAGCCAAATGTAGAACTTCACTGAAATTCATCCTTTTAGTTGCTATGATACAATGTCATTTCAGCATAAGTTGTGAATGCAAATCAACAAGTGTAATGGAATTTCATCCTGATAGTTGATTAGTCTTTGGATATTCCAGTACATCATGAAAGTCATATTTGAATGCCATAATGTCATAATTGATTCTTAATGAAAATGAAAGTGAAAAGAAGTGAATTTAAACTTTAAAAATTTGTCAAAGTTTCTTCATATAAGCTACCATGTATTATATATTTGATGGTGATTTATGGCTGCTGTGAATCCAGGAACTGATATGTTCATGAATTTTACAAAGGGTGCATTTGTGGAAAAGTTTCATGCCATGATGTGAATGAATCTCATCTAAGGCAACAAAAAATCTTTGCAGTTTGCTGAAATGTCTTGTCCTAAAAGTCACTAAATAGTTTTAAAATTGCAATTTTCATTTCATGAAAGTTCTGGTATTCCAGTATTCAATGTGTAGAATAGAAACTATGAACATCAATTTTCTTCTAAAGAAAAAGAACTTTGTAAGGACGCACTTTAAATTGTTTATTTCTTTGTTTTGTGTGTGTGTTTGTTTGTTGTTTTTTTTTGGGGGGGGGGGGAGAAGTGTTACATCATAGTTTCTTTGAATGTTACATGTGCAATCTTATGTTTATTTTGTTCAGGTTGCTAATGAAGGCAGATTTCGGATGAGAGCCGATGGTTCTTTAGTAATATGTGACATCAAAATGACTGATGAACGAGACTACAAATGCAAGATAGAAAATAAATTTGGATATGAGACTAGCAAGACACAGCTTTTCATAAGAAGTAAGTAACTTATCATCTGTCTCTAATGTAGGTTTCTAGGAAATTCAAAAGGTTGTTGCACAAGGAATGTGAAGAAAAAAAAATTGTAAATGCATATGATTTTTTTGTCAATGTTAAATTCAGAACTAATAAAGTTATTGCTGAATGATTGCCTTGAGCTAGAGAACATAGATCATCTAAAGATAACAAATTGTCCAGTTATACCTGGGAGTAAGATAAATATTGATAGCCCAGAAATAATGAAGGAAATTGTTCAAACTAATATTAGGTACTTATATTTGAGATTTTTTTTTTTTTTTTTTGGGGGGGGGGAGGAGCCATCAGATTGTGATAAGTGGTAAAGATAGAGATATAAATGATATAGTGAATGGAATGGAGTAATTCTTACAAACTACATGTATGAACAAAGTGTTTAAATGAACTTGTATTTTTAATAATGCATTACAGGAAGAACACAGATGACAAACCCTCCTACCGACACTCGAATCCCGGCTGGGGACCAGCTGTTCCTACCTTGTGCTGTGACCTCTGACCCCGCCCATCACATATCATTCACATGGATGACCCCTAGAGGGTTACAGGTCAGTGTGGGGTCAGGAGGCGATGGGTCATTGAGGATTGAGACGGTGTCTGACGAGGATCAAGGATTGTATACATGCACTGCCAAGTCAGCTCTAGATAGTGTTTCTGCTTCTGCTTTGGTTGTAGTAGAAGGTAAATATACTCTCAACTACATGTATTTTGTTCTATGGCTATGTCCTTTTAAAAGCTGTAATTGTTTGTATCAATCACAAATTTACTTCTGTATGTTTTGCAATTGTTTTGAGGACTTGTGATCAACATGTATCAATGGCAACTGTATAAGATGGGGCAGTGGCTTTTTTCTCTCTCTAGCAATTCCTCTGCTGTGTGGTTATGGCATTATAGATGACGGTGATGACTACAATGGAGGAACTTGTAATGAAACAAACCCTCATCCCTACTTCACTAAATATGAATTTATCTATCTCTTTCCTTTCTCCTGTCTTTAGATATTATTACTTCCTTTCCTTTCTTTCTTCTTGTTTTGTTGTTGTTGTTGTTGTTTCAGCACTCTGATCAGTATTCTCATTAGCACTTAATAAGAATCAATTAATATTCTTATAATTGTTATTCTTTTTCAAGAAGAAAAAAAATCCACCAATTTGTGTTTTTGAGGCTATGGTATTGTAGATGATGTGATGGGGAATGCAATGGAGGAATTTTGAAATGTTTCAAACGATCATTCCTGACTCATCCTTTTCTTTCCTCTCTCCTTTCACCAGAGAGATCAATCCCTCTGCTGTGTGGTAACGGCATCGTTGATGAGGAGGAGGAATGCGATGGAGGTTTATACAATGCATCTAACCCTCATCCCTGCTGCACAAAGCACTGTCAGTGGAGAAGTGATTTACTATGCAGGTTAGAAGGATTTGTAATGAGAGGGTTTTAGAAGTAGTTATGGTTTGTCTGTGATAATGGAAGGGGTTGACAGTAGGGCCAGTCATGAAATATATCTTAGTGGTTTTCAGTATTCAGTTTTGACATTTGGCTACACTACCTTTTCTTTCTTTTCTCTCACTATGAGCAAAGATACTGAAGATCTTTATCAAATTAATTTTCTTTGATTAAAAAACATAACATTTTTTGTAGCTTTTTAGATTAAGTTTCCCTTTCATAAATACATGTTTTCATTTCATCTGTGTAGTTCAAAAATATCCAAATGACATCAAAATAGAACTTATGGTAAGATATCACAAGCAAATTATTTTCTATTAGAATATTTAGTGATATTATTAAAGCTATTGATGAAATGGTTTTTACTTGAGCATACATTTTAAAACCAAGTTATCAAAGCATATTTTTTATTAATGGAGCAAGTGTTAATGGGTATACTTATAACTCTGAAAGAGATACTTATTTAACTACTGACTTAGTTTGTATGTATGTTGCTTACTCTTTAACATTAAAACTTTATTTTATTGCAGTCTTTGACAGGGAAGATAACTGTTGCAGACTTGCAGTGACTGTCAAAGTTTCCTTTTCATTCTGAAACGAGTATATAGCTGTTGTCATACCATATGGATAAATTTTGAAGGATTATTATTTCTTTAATACCTTTAACTTTTGTTTTGTAGGGAGGACACCCAGTGTTGCAAGGACTGTGAGCTGCTAGAGAGTGGTGTGCAATGTCATCTTGAAGTAGAACATCCAGAGTGCTATCAAGAATCCTATTGTAATGGCTTGGACATAGAATGTCCTCCTGATCTTGAGTACATTCAGAATGGAATGCCATGTAGAAACAAGTGAGTTCAAAACGTTTCTTCTCTTTTCAGAGCAGGCAGAATTCTGTCATAATAAAGGTTGAATTGAACTCTCAATTTTGTCATCTTGGGGCCAAAAAAACTAAGTGTGGAACTGGATACCGGTAATTTTGACCTTTTGCCTCCCTACCCCTTCAAATGTGTAATCTGAAAATGTATACTTGTATTGGTCAGACTTTCTTAATAATTATTAACACAAATTTAACAGTTCCTTAAGATTTGCTAAATATTTAACACGTAAGTCAAAGAGGTTAGTTTTGCGTATCTTGTTCATTATCTATCCATAGATTGCTCAAATTCTTTTTTAACCACATATTTTGTTGTCATGCTGTTGACAGTGGCCAGTGTCTAGATGGTGAATGTATTCCATTCTGTGACTTACGAGCTGGATTAGAGTCATGTGACTGTCCATCAGGTAAGTACAATCCTATCTTGTAATAGAATCTATCTTATCATAAGTCTGGACTATTTAGCTTGCAGGGAATTTTTCACTTCTTTATATGTACACATATATTCAACAACTTTGTGTGGTTAAATTATTGTACTGTTGTGTAAAATATTAACTTTTTTCTGATGTAGTATGTTTGAATGATATATTTGTTGTGTACAAGTTGATGAAATTTAAAGATTTTTTTAAAATGAGTAACAAAGCAAGATTGTCCAGAAGTGGATGCTCAAGAGGAAAAGAAAAGTCGTAATTTCTCATAGCATTCGACATGGGGTTGTAATGATTGAAATTTTGTGTATGAAAGTTTTTTTTATAACCATTGTTTTACACATGGTACTTTGTAGTCGTCAGTTCAATTTCAGTCTTGATTCTTATAAAGTTGTCGGTTAACTCAGTTTCCAGAAATAAATGTACATAGTTAGAGAAGAAGTACAGCAAGTACAATAACCTCCACATTACAAGGATTAAAGAAATATATTGTTAATTGAGTTACGTGTATCAGCAGTTCTTAATAGTAAGCACCAATGACTCCTTCACAATACATAATAATAATAATAATAATAATAGCCTAATAGTCCACTCCAAATTTTATTAAACCGAAACGGAAATTCTTTTTGCCCAATTGATCGTGAGCCCGGCAGCCACTGAGCAGCGCCAGATCGATGTTGCTCTATCCCTTATTGTTGAACGCCAAACAAGGTAGCAACAACTCCCATCTTTTAACGTCTTTTGGTATGACGCAGCCGGGGTTCAAACCCACGACCTCCCGGTTGTGAGGCGGACGCTCTACTGACTGAGTCAACACTCCGGTACATGTTTGATCTGATGATGTTTCCTTTCCACACAACAGATTCTAATACGTGTGTACATTGCTGTGTACAAGATGGTATCTGTTTACCATTTCTTAGCCAAGAAGATAATAGTTCCGTCCCTCGACCAGACAATAATGGGATGACGTGTGGAAGGAATGGTGTTTGCAATCGGGTGAGAGCACGCAAATCGGTCTACTTTCATTCCTCTCTCTCTCTCTCTCTCTCTCTCTCTCCTTTTTTCTCTCTTTCTTTCTGTGCTTGTGTGTATCTCTCTGTCTCGCTCTCTTTCTCCCTCTTCCTTTCCCTCTCCTTTTTCACTCTTTTTTTCTGTCTCTGTCCCTCTTTTTCTCTCTCATCCTTTCTCTCTCTCTTTTCACTCTTTTTTTCTGTCTCTGTCCCTCTTTTTCTCTTTCTCTCTCATCCTTTCCCTCTCCCTGTCTTTCTATTCCCCCCCCTCTCTCTCTCTCTCTCTCTCTCTCTTTTTCTCCCTCTCTCTCTCATTATGTTTTCTTTGTAATGATTGAATGACATCTCTCTATGGAACAAATTTGTATTAGAGTTGAGAACTACAACATCTTATGAAACTTTCAAATCCAAGTTGATAAAATATCCTTTTTTAAGCAATGCTTAACCTGAGGATATGCCACTCATTTTAGACTCTTGTTTTCACCTCTATTTTCCTTGTGCACCATGCAGTTGCTCACAAAGAGACATTTTAAAAAGTATGGTAGTTTTGTAAAATATGAGCATATGTAGTTTCATGTGTAAATATTAAATTACAGGGTAAGTGTGTTGGAGAGGATCCAACACCAAGACCACCTACAACAACCACACCTGCACCTACCATAACCACACCTGCACGTACCACTGTACCTACAACAACGGAGACCACTACAACTACCACTACTACCCAAGCAACAACAGTTGGTGAGTTACTGAGTTTCATAGAAAATTTTACATCTGTGTACTTTGAATTAAGATTTAACAATTGCTGATTTGCCACATAAAGCTATTGAGGTCCAGACAGGGAATTTTATAAAGTACTGTTTTTTTAATTCCATCAGCTGCACCCGCACTTTCTTACTTGTAAACGCTGGATTACAAGACAGATACACCTTGATACAGACGGTTCTTCACATATTTGGGAGATGGATATTTAAAAGAAAAGGCATTTAAAATTATCTTTAAAAAATTATGTACATAGGGCATACCTTTGATGATAAACATAGAGTATACACCTTACAGTATCCCGATACATCAGGATATGACTGTTTTCTAGCTTGAGGAAACAGAGTTGTGTGTCACAGCTCTTCTAACTGTAATTGTAATTTGATTTATTTATGAGTATGTGAGTAAGTTTTATTCATTGGATGATTTGACATTGCTAATTGATTCAAAACTGCTTTAAAGTTATGTCAGTTTATAAGGACAAAAAGAAAAGGAAAAAAAACTACTTTCGGTAACCCTTAAAAATAGTCTTCCTAGCCAATACACAACTATTAGATAAAACTTAAGTTTAGATGTACACGTATTATTGATGTAACTGGATGGTATTGGTCTTTACTGATGTAAGACTGTATCATTTGACATTTCTAGGAGACAGACTGCCTAATCCACCATCAGAAGTAACCATGACATCGCTCTCATCACCCCTGGATGTCCAGCTGTCCTGGTCAATGGAGGGCGATGATGATCGCATCTCTCAATTTGATGTGGAAGCACAGACCGCTTACTCTCGTGGTGACTGGACTCTTCTAGCCAGCGTCCCTTCCAATGAGACCCAAGCAAGGGTCAATCTAGCACCCTACATGACCTACAGGTTCAGGGTCACAGCGGTCAATGGAGTTGGGAGGTCAGAGCCTAAGATGACCAGTGGTCAGTATTTCACTCCTCCAGACAGACCAATCAGCAACCCAAAGAATATCAGCTTCTCTGTAGAGAATGGACAGGTTGTGGTCCACTGGAAGGTATGCACTAGATTTATTCTATTTCAAAAGATTCAAGTTTTTGTTTTATAGTTAATAGTATATCCACTCTAACAAGCATACATGTACTATTTGAATTGAAGATGATTCGAATATAAAGTAGAACATAGATGCCTATTTTTCATATTATTATACTAATTGATCTTTATTTCTTTTTCGTTAATAATAGTATGTTGTAAGGAACAAATTTCACATAAATGCATTGCAAAGAAGGATAAAGTGGAGGACCCTGGTCAAGGTGTTTGACCACTGGGATTTTTTAAAACTGCAATTCACATTTGTCTATCTTATAACACACACTCACACATAGGACCTCTGTGGAGTCACTTATTTTATGTGTCAAAGAAAAAGAAGAAATGCTGCGAAGTTGATAAACCCAGTCTGAATTTCCATCCTATTCCAGCCCCTCCGACCAGAAGAACATGGAGCACCTGTCTTTTCCTACAAGGTACTCTGGCGTCCTCTTGAGACGGACACCTGGCAGGAAGCAGCAATACAAATGTTCCAGTACACATTCACCATCCCAAGTAGCCAAGAGGAGGGTCAGTATGAGGTCGGCGTCCAAGCTGTCAATGCTGTCGGCCCGGGGCCGGAACCTGAGATTTTCACCTATGGATCTGTTAAGACTACCAAAGGTAAGGGAATGCAGTTTTTTTCTGTTTTTTTAATAAATATTTCTTTTTATTTGTTAGTTTTTGTCAGTGTCATTGTATATCCTGCATTGCAAATTAAATCTTTACCACAGCCAGTCAGAAATGACAGGAAAGCTTGCATTATTGCTTTATTTAACTAATTAATGTTGACTAAAGCGTGTCATCTGTCTTCAGTTGGACATAGCTTCCACGCATCGATAATGTATGTATTTCTCCTTTCAAAATTAAATAATGAAGAAACAGAAAGAAGTGTACATGAATTAGTTCTTAAATATGCTACAGAGAAATATGTATGATTTATGAAGACCACCCTGAGATCCAAGAAAATCAGTATTTAAGCCAGGTTCATTTCATGTTATGATGATCACACTGTTCTAATAAAGCAAAAGACAGATTCCATAGTTATAAACCCATGATTACTGAGTTCTCTTATACAGGGACCATCCAGTTCCTGTAGACAGTGTCTTGAAGGAATCTGACTGCCTTTGATAATGTTCTGTCTATACTTGCACATCCACAGCTTCCTTGACTACTACTTCACCATACCTAGGATTCATCCAGAGGCCACCGGAAGAAATGCAAGTTCTTGTTGGTAGTCCATTGACTCTCCCATGTCAGGCAGAGGGTTTCCCTCAACCTCGTATCCAATGGTTCTTCAACAGTCGCAGGGTATGTCGATCATATTGGTTTGTAATTTCCAGTGTGGGGCATTTGGTAATCTTTTTTTTTCTCAACATTTTTTTAAAATTTAAATTTTTTTTTTTTAAAGCTTGTTTTATCATGTGCCGCGATTTGAGAGATCACGTATTGTGTGCGTTGAATGGCTGCATGATCGAGCAGCAAATTTGTATTTGCGTTTCGGGTACAGATTTATCGTGAATTGCCAGTTACACTGCCGCTGCAAGTGCGATTTCTTATTTTCGAAGGCATACCGTGCTAAAAATTCCTAATTCTAATTTTCAAATGTTGGCAGGTATGATAAACAGAAGTTTCTCTATGCGCTTTACAAAGTACAAAGTAAAAACTAAGCATGTACAAATATATTTGAATAGTTACAGGATCAGAATTTTTGTTGTTTTTGTTTTGCCTCTAATGAGGTGTTTATTTACATTCAAACATCAAAATAAAGTATTGAGAACAAATACAATTGACACAAATTGTATCAATAGAAATCACATATTTTTTCTCAACTATACAATATTTTGCTACTTTTCATCTAAATCGTTTGTATAGCCGATTTGGTCAGGTTTCTTCTGATCTTCCCTATAGTTCGTAATGCAGCTGTGGCAGATCTGCAGACGTTCTTCAGTTGATCATTCATCGTTAGGTTCTTGTCCACAATTACACCCAAATTCCTCACATTCTCTACCGGGGCAATCACTGCTTCACCAACTGTCACTGCTGTTGGTTAGAAGGATCGGAACTTTGAGGAGAAGTGCATCACTTCCATCTCGGAATCATTGATTTTGAGCATGTTCTTTGTCGCCCAGAGTCTAATGTCCGAAATGCAAGCATTAAGCCAAAGACTAGATTAATCTAACAGATGTGACTCAAACAAGATGTATAGCTGAGTATCATAACATATTATCTTTCAGTCTAATCTTAATCAGGTCTAATCTTAATCAGTTGTCTTGTTTCACTGATCTGTGTAGAGTATCATAAGTTCTTGAGAGCGTCACATGTTCCTATGGGAGCTGACAAAAACCAGAAAACAATTTCCATCGGAATGGGGCGCCAGACAGCCCATACAAATTTTGTTCAATTTCTCCCGTTAAGGCTTCATTAACCAAATTTTGTGTGAAGGAAGGCAAAACATTACAAAACATGAATTAAAAAGATATGAGATAGAAACAGGTCACATTATAACACAATTAATACGATTGCAAATACTGAAGCTTTCCCCGATATATATACATGTACATGGAGGCCAAACCCACTATGCACATCAAACAATATCCCGTTTTAAGAGATAAGAAATTTACTACAATACAGTAAACCATTGTTATGTAAACATAAATTTTATTATAAAAATTATTCTTATCATCTTATTTACTACTACTACTTCCAGGGGCTGTGCTGTTTGTTTGCTTTGTATTTCATTAAAAAAATGTTCTCAACAACTAAATACAAGAATGAAGATTAAGTTTTCTTTTCAACTAAAGTATTTGAAAAATAAAAGAGCTCAGCTTCACTATTTTGGTTAATTACAAGTTGGCGAATTCAAGGAAGGTTGATATTTGTATTCCTTACACAATGAAACTCTTCTTGTACACAAGAAGCCTCTCCCCGTCACAAGCTACAAGGTTACCAGAAGGGGTTATGAGGCATAGACTCATCGTGATAGAGCTTTGGTCTGTTTTCTCGTATTCTACGATCCTCCTTGCCTGGATAATACCATCACATGACACCTGATCAACTGCATAGATATTACGCTCTGTATCCCAGTATTTGATGTAGAGTGTGTCTGTCAGTTTGTCAATGTGACACTCTGACGCGCACCACTCAGCACATTGTATGGCAGCCTTCTCTTCTCCTGATCGTGAGATGACAGTGAATTCATTATCACCTGCCTTCACAACGATATCACCTGATGACAAGGCTTGTATCCCACCCCACACCAACTTGTCCTGATCCTGCATCGTAATGATGTCTGCTTTCTTACCATCAGCAGGGTTGATGACGTAGATATTAGACTGACCGATCTCAGCAGCAAGGATCATCCCATCCCTGTCAACATCAACGAACACACTAGTATTATAGTGGTAATTCGTCGGTATGGTGATGTCTCTAATCGCCTTCCATTGTCGGTCATAGAGAGTGACGTATCCATCCAAGCTGACACCCTTGTAGCCTCGTTCCGACTTACCGCAGACTATTACGCTGCTGTCTATGTGGGCGTACGGTATAATACCCACGTTACTATCTCCTTCAATGACTTTCTCTGTGTGTTCAGTTCGAATATTTGTAATAAACGTGTTATTGTTCCTTACGTCCACCACACATATCTCATCGTCACTGATCAAACCACACACCCGTGGGTAATTAACAATCGATGGAATGTGGATTGACTTTACGAACTCCCATTTACCGATATAGCCATCAATTCTCCAATAGTGTTCCCCACCTACTTCACCCTCGACAAACTTCACTTTCTGAACTTCACCCTGTATTCGGTCAAGACAGTCGCTAACATCTTGATGAACATTCAAACTTAAATGTTCATCTAGGGTTGCAAGTACTTGAAGAGTTTCAAGCACTAAAGTTTTGTCCTCTTGCACGATTCTTTTGATCTTGGAATCAGTAGTATCCATTGTGCTGATTGCGTGCAGATTCTTATTTTTGAGATAGTTTATCTTTTTAGGAACCACCTCGCTGATTGCTTTTGTCTCTGATTCCACTTTTGATTGGCTTTCTTTGAGAATTAATTGTTGCTGTTCTGCTTCTTCGTGACATGATTTGATCCGTCTTTCCCTCTTTTCGTTAATGATTTGTATTTCTTCATCTGCCTCCTCGTCGATCGAACGAATCAATCGTTTCTCCTTGTCTTTCACACTCTTTAATTTGTTTTCGAATGCCACCCTAAGTTTATCGTTGACTAATTGAAAATGGTTACTTGCGGAGGTCGCAGTGGACTCTAGTTTAGAGTCGAGCGTTTTCAATAGTTTCTTCATTTCCTCTATCTCTTGCTGCTTGCCATCCAGTTTCCTCCTCCTCTCCAAGATGACATCCTCGATGTCGTCTAGCTCACATGGTTTCTGACAGTGCTCTTTGATAGCGCATCGGTCACAGACGGGTAAATCATGTTTTTTACAGTAAAAAGCGATTGGCTCACCATGTATGTCACATGACCATCTCATGTCATGACCCTTTCTAGGGCGTAACTTGTCCTTTTCATCTCTATCTGCTGGGAACTTAGACGCCATGATGTGAAGCAAATGGTAGCAAGTAACCTGCATCATTAACAATAGAGAAATGACTTCAGGAGAAGACATAGAGATTTATTATCTTGTCTTCTATTCCTATTGCTCGTCAGTATATTATGACTGATATATTAATAATGATGGTACTTATTAGATAATCATTGCGGCTCGAGAGCGGAATAACAAATGAATTTTACACAAAAAAGTGCATTAACTTTATACCGGTAATCAATTCCAAATGGCATAAAAAACATAAACAAAATATTTCCTTATAAGAAAATGGTAGGATTGTTACGTTAGAAAGGGAAAAATGTATTAATCACTAATTAGGCTTAAAAGGGAAATTAAAATGAGAGGTTGTGTTCCTAAATACGATTTAAGTATATATAATCAAAGTACATGTTGTAGATTACAAAAATAGTTCAAGGAAATGTAATTGATATGTACGAATAAATGAACTAATAATCAATTAACACTAAAGAATGAGATTAAAAATTATCTGTGATAAATTCAAAAGAAGTGTTGTAGAGTAAACAAAAATGTTTGAAGAGGTAACATATTGTATTAAAAGTGTGGTGGTAACAAATTGAAATCATTAATAATAAATTATAATAATAAATTATATTTCTATAGCGCATTATACAAGGTATGTCTCTATGCGCTTATACCAAGCGTAAACAAATTAACGTCAAAGGTGACCATTATGCTTTCTTAGCAGTCAGGTAAAATAACCACCACCACATTCAATTACAATCTGAATTGTAAAGCGTTGAGTCATGGTAAAATCAGGTTCCGTGAAAGGACTGTGTATGTTTCAGTGGAAAACAGGTATTGGATGCAAAAAATTGAATATTGCACAATTTTCTATACAAAGAGGGAACAAAATTTAAATAAATAGATGTATTCCCTTATTCCCTCGACATATCACCTCTTAAATTTGTCAGAATTTTCTTTTTTTATTATTTCTTTTTATTATCTCATTTTCTTTTTTCCCCCCACTTTTTTGTGCAGATGATAACTACTTAAATAAGTATATAAGATAAGTACTTGGGTATTACCATCACTTCTAATCTCAAGTGGACCCAACATATCAATAATACTGTCAACAAAGCCAATAACGTCCTTGCCTTTCTAAGACGCAATCTATGCATTAAATCTTTTGACATACCTCAAAGCCACTGCATACAAAACGTTGGTTTGACCGATTGTAGAGTATGCTTCCTCTGTCTGGGACCTAGCTTCCAAGAACCTCATTCACAAAGTTGAAATGGTGCAAAGAAGAGTTGCGAGATTCACTCTGAATCGTCACCATAATACATCAAGTGTCAGCAGTATGCTGAAAGAACTTGATTGGACCACTCTCTAAGAGCGCAGAGAAAATGACAGACTAACTTACGAACAGTCTGCTGTATTATCCTGTTGCGATGAGGACTTCTCCACCATTAAACAACGATGTAGTATTACAGTGTACAGTTTGAATGTATAAAATGAAAGGAAAGTGAAAGTGAAAAAGGAAGGAGAGTGCATGTGACATATCATGTGACATTCACCAGCTAAACAATATGTGACCACTCATTGGAAACATAGAACAAAGTTCAAAACCTTGTGTTTCAGTATTCTCAAGTCATGTGGTAAGTGTGTAAAATCTTCAAGACTACATGACATAAAGCGCTGTTTTTCCTGTTGAACTTGTAATTTTCGTCCAGAGATTTCTCCACCTTGACCTTCTGCTACCCATAGCTTGATTATTTCATTGCAATTGTGTTGGTCTGGAAACCGATCAAATGATTTCCCCTTGGTTTTCGAGCAACAATTATTACAACCAAACACTTAGCAGTACACCATGTTTGATGTGAATTGCATATAACGCGCGAGCTGCGCGCTACATCAGTTCTCCTTGCGATACTTCACAATGCAGAAGTTTTGAAGGGAAATTTCGACAAAATGGCTTCCTTGGGGAGCACATGACGTCGCAAATATGGCGAAGTAGGGTCTCTTCATTGTACTTGCAAGACGATATTATTTGGCCTACAGCAATATCAAATGAAATGTTGTTTTATACTCTCAATATCAGGTAAACTCCTGACGACGGATAGTCACCTGTTCGAAACATTGATCCACTCCTACTACCCATCCTCTCCAACCGGCGCTATAGTTCTATTTAGAACGATAAGCTAAGAAAGATTACCAACAGTCTTTTTCAAGACTACACCCAAACTCAAGAAAGAAAGATTATCGACATTATTTTTAGGACTCCCCAATCCTTCCCCCTCATATGATAATGCTTCATAGTCGACAGGTTAATTCCCCTTTAACTCTAACACAAAATTCTCTGTAAACTCTGTGTTGTTTGAATATTTAGACTAGAATTCTACAATTACACATTTTTCCACAAACAAATATCATAAAACGATCACAAAATCTAAGGTCTTAGCTTGAAATTGATTGATTGATTCATTTTTTTCGCCAAGCCTCAACATACAACAATATAAAAGAATAACAGATCAAAATTAAGTCAGCTTGAACAGGATAACCCATGAAAGCTAGAGAGATTATTTCCAGGGGGTCCCCGGCATACATGCGTATATTTTTCTATATTGTCATACCTGCCAACCCTTCCAAATAATCCGGAATATTCATTATTTTCAATCTTTTCCCCTCTCCTTTTCTTCCTCCCCCTTCCCCCCCCTTTTTTCAATTCAGGGTGCTAAAGCCAAATTAAGCTTGTATTATCAAGTGCAGCAATTTAAGAGTTCACGTATTGCGTGCGTTGAATGGCTGCATGATCGAGCAGCAAATTTATATTCGCTTTTTGGTACAGATTTACCACGTATTGCCAGTTACACTGCTGCTGCAAGTGCGACTTCTTATTTTTAAAGGCATATCGTGCTAAAAATGTCTAATTCTTATTTTCAAATGTTGGCAGGTATGTAACTTTGTGAAACTCTATTAAAAAACAAAGAACTATAATGACTATCAAAGACACATGGTCCAACTTTATACTAGTCAAAATACTACCTCAAACCTCTAATTTGGAAACGTCATCACTGAAAAGTCAGGGAATCTAATTTGTTTTCATAAGATGCTGGGAAATGTGTACATGATCACCTGTACTGAACTGTCAATTGAACAATGTGTACTCTTGAAATGCAAATCCTTTTCTTTGAAGACGCAATGAATGACATGAACATGTTTGTTTTCAGGTGGTACGGACCGATCAAGTAGAGGTTGATAATGATGGTCAGTTGGTGATAGATCCTGTAGACCTTTCTAACACAGGGATGTACCAGTGTAGGATCTCCAATGATGTCACTGGTGAGGACCAGACTGCAACCAGTCATGTCGCTGTCGTAGGTGCGTACTTACACTTATAGTCGTTGATGTTTTCAAAAACGCATTGGTCATTTCTGTATACCTCTTTCTCTGAATGTGCATGTGCCATATTGTCTTTCTAAAAGAAAATTTTCAAGAAAACTCCTTAGTTATGATAATAAGCTGAAAGTCTGAAATCTGAAACCTGATACTGTTGCAAACATGTGATTTGTAGTTTAAGGAGTGTTGTAAGAGTAGAAATGGGACGTGCTATGTAGCTTTTACAGTTTACCATCTGTACCTATTATTATTTGTGCTGGTGGTACATCAATGATTAAGAAGTATATTTATAGTGGTAAAATGTACATTTGTGCTATCCCTCTTACGATACCATTGAAATAAAGGAGGGATTTTTTTTTTAAGCTTTCCAATATAATCTTCTCCTTCTCCTTATGAAAAAGATACATTTGCATATATTTTGAATGAAGACAAGAATGAAATACTTGTATTATGAGGTTGTATGCTCCTTACTGCAATTTGGTTATAGGTTTCAAAAACTTCTGCATTCTGAAATGTTATCCCTGACCCTCCCACAATCTTTTTGTTAAAATGTACACCAAATAATGAATTTGTTATATGAGGACTATGAACACTGCAAGGCAGACATTTTCAAAATCAACAACAAAAGTGTTGGAAGTCTTAAGATTATGAGATAACTTTGCAATACTTTTATCGTGATACACAAACACTTGTATTTCTCTCTACCCGTACATGTAATGTATTGGGTAGTGAGATACTATATCAATGTTGCAAGGTTATATAGTTGTTATGCTTGTTTCATTCTCAATGTTTTGATAGCTCCCATGCTAGTCTTCACTGCCACACCCCCAGCTCTAGTAGATGTGTTAATAGGTGAGAGTATAGTGTTGCCATGTCAGGCTGGTGGATTCCCTCAGGCAACCCTCACATGGAGGTTCCAGAATAATGTAGTAAGTTCACACTTGGTTCTGATTAATAAGTGCCTCACTACAAATTATCTCATTCATATGTTACAATATTTCATTTTGTTAGGGCAAGTCGTAATTTTTGTCCGACCTAGCAATAACTAATGTTTGCAATTTGAAGTCTGACTATTGAAATACTATTATTCGTAACAAGTGAATGAAATGATTTGTAACGAGGCACTTCACCAAGACGTATGCATTAGTTTTGGTTACAATATGAAAATGGCCTATTGGAATGGATATACTGTGTCCTGGGGACAAGAGAAAGACAGATATGGATGAAGACATCATTTTAAAGGAACACACACACACCATATGTGCATCTAATTTTTGAAGGAAATATCTCATATTGTCATATACAAGGTGTTATGATATCACACTTACCTGGAGAGAAACAATTATGGAATACTTGAATTAGATGAAAACAGAAGAAACAGTTATAGATGAGAATGCATGAAAAGGGTGAACGACAATTGCAATTTTGACATTATTCATTATATCTTCATGGTATTGCTATCTCATTTTCATCTGTTATTGTTTTGAAATTTATTTTGTATTATCTTTACTTGTAGATTGATTATGGAGTTGATATCTACATGGCAGAGAATAATTCCATCATCATACCTGTTGCTGATGAGTCTCATTCTGGTCTCTACCAATGCATCATATCAAATGGGCTTCATAATGTCAAGACAGCCAACAGCCAAGTTAATATCAGAGGTATTATACTCCAACCAGTTACCCAGTTCCAGTTTGAAAAATGTAATTCATCAACTCTTTATATGCCACACAGATAATCTTCCTTGGCCACATTGTATTCATCACAAGATATATATACCAAAAGCTTCAAGATTGTTTTACTATTTCCAGGGTAACATTAGTCTATACCAATATTACAAGGGTTGTCATGAAGCAAATTAAGATGGGAAATTGATAACTTTGCTAAGCTATGTGTTGCACTAAACAACCCTTCTGTTAGTTGGTGCCTATTATTTAATGCAAAATTGCATATGTGGCAAAGGAACGACATGTACAGAGCTGCCAACCTTGTGCGACCAACAAAAGGAATCATGATGGCAAAAAAAAGGAATTCATAAAAACAAAACTTATAACCACGCGCGACACACTTCCAATGCAGAAATGTTCATTCATCATGCTGTTTTTTCCATACAAGCAGGAATTTTTTTGGTGGTTATTTTGGTATTATCGGCATTTTATTTATATAAATTTTATAAAATTAGTTTTCTATTGAATTTGTGATCGAATCACCATTTTAGGGTAGTTGTTTGACGTACGCTATGTAAAAAAAAAAAAAAAAAAAAAAAAAAAAAATTAATAAAAAAAAAAAAAATTAATAAAAAAACATATTTTATGAAGAAAAAACGTAATACCGTAATTAGGAGGAAAAAACGGAGTAATTCCGGCAAAAACGGAATGGTTGGCAGCTCTGCATGTACATTGCTCTTAATACACAAATTTGATAGATACAAATGTGAAATCACATATAATTCATCTTCTTCATGTTTTGCAGAGCCCCTTGAAGTGAGTGTAGAGCCAATGGGGATCCTGACCATACTAGGCTCTGAGATCACTCTCCCCTGTACAGTCACACATGATCATCCACTCCTAAGAGTGTACTGGACTCGTAATGATGAAGTCATCTATGAGCACTATATCAATCAGACTCTACAAGACTACTCCCTACTCATAGAGACAGTGGTGTGGAGTGACAGAGGGCAGTATCGATGCATCGCAGAAACAGCCCTTGATTCGGACAGTGATTTGGTTCAAGTGGTCATTCAAAGTAAGTTTCTATTTAATTCTTTGTAAGGATGTATATGCATAATCATTTCATTGGTAATGGGTTTTAGAGAATTCTCAGAGAATTCTAGAGAAGTCTAGTACAGCAAAAATATAATTTAATATTTTTATATTTATTTCATGATTCTTTACTGTACCTGTCTTAAAAAGGATATGCAATAGTTTGTACATGTTAAAAAAAAGCAAATTAATGTACATGTAAAGCAGCTGTTGTTTGTTCAGTACTTTGTGATGTCAAACATCAAGCTAGTCATGTTATCCTGCTACTATACTCACTGCAGATACTTGTTTTGAGTAATATATGTCAACATGTTTAATAAAGTCTGCATATTTTGGGTAACTTCTTTCAAATCCCTCCAAACCCAAGCATTTGGTACAGAGGTAAGACTAAAATTGGCTGTTTCAATTTCTGAAACAGATTGCCTTGTTGTGAAATTGGCTCCTGTTGGACAAATGTTGTACCAAATTTAATAATGTAATAAGCAGCATGAGTTGATATTAAAAACTTTGAAGTTCATTTATGACTAGTCTTTAAAAAAGTTTGTTTCATTATCTTCATTATTGTACTTTAAAATTGTAAAATTGAGTATCTTCTTTTATTATTAATATATATATCTCCTTGACAGCTCTACCAGATACGCCATCTAACATAAAGACCAATACCAGTCAAGATGGGTCAGAGGTGACTGTGTTCTTTGATGCTCCATTTGATGGCAACTCTCCCATCTCATCATACATCATTGAATACAGCAGCCCTGAAGCTGAGGTCCCATGGCAGGACGTGAAAACCATTGCTCCTGGTAACACCACCCAGGTCGCCACCACGGTTACAATACCCCCGTTCTGGGGTTACTATGTCAGAGCCAAGGCGGAGAATGAGTTTGGAATGTCTGAGCCAAGCGAGGCGTCCGATCCTATCTATGTGAGACCCACTGCACCGACCCGCAATCCATCAGGGGTGATGACTGAAGTGTTGGATGGAGGCAGTAAGATCAACGTTACTTGGGAGGTGAGAGCTAGGCATATTAATGGCTGATGGTCAATAAGCTACACAGCTAGGTCCATAAAATATTCACCCCACAAATCCCTGTAACATGACCTGCTTACAGCTTCTGGTGTGACTGAGCAATCATTGAGCTTTGCCCCAAAAAAACTTTTGCATAGATCACTGAATTAAAAGACTTTATAACTGATGAAAACAAAATGCATACGGTAGCTTATCGTATGGCTCCCACATTCTTACAGATTTGTTTTCCCCCTGTTTTTTGCATTCAAGTTAATCCTCATGCACCTTTTTGTATTCTTTCTGTATCCTCTCCTGTCAGCGGCTAGTTTGATATTACTTTGTCATAATCCTTGAGGTAATATTGTTTTTAAAACGTGAGTTTTGAATGTTACTTCTGAAAAGACATTTTGCCAGTCTAAATATATTCTCAATTAACATAAAAGCAACCTGTGGAGTAGATTAGTCGAAGCTCCTGTACACCCTTGTATAGAATAGGAATCCAAGTCAAAATTCCATGCGTGGTGTTTGATGGTATTTTCTATTTTCTTCATAACATAACTGTTAATATCAGTAAAAAATGTTAACGTTGATTTTATACATTGTAGCTGTACACTTTCTGTGTTGTTTAATTCTTTTCATACAGCCTCTGAGAAAATCTGAATGGAATGGTCCAGGGTTCTACTACATCATAGATTTACGTGGTGCAAACCAGCGCTTTGGATCCATGGTGACCGTGGATTATTTCCGCCCACCTAACATCCTACTAGACGTTGATCCTTCTCTCATGCCATATGAGATCATGATTCAGGCCGGTAATGATATCGGACTGGGTCCTATACCAGAGATTGTCGCTGCTGGTATTGAGGAGATGGGTAAGATGATTCTTGGCTAGGCTTTTTGTGCTGTGTGTGCTCTGTGTAAATGTAATGTTTAACAATGTGGAGAAAGCAAAATATAACCTCCAATATTTGGATAGGCTGGTTGGAAAACTTTTTTGAGGGGCCCAGGTGATGATATTACTGTTAATGGTTAATCATTTGCTTCTGTGAAAAGGTATTCATAAGATTTTGGCAAAAATGACCAAGATATATTTTAACAAATATTTGAAGGAAAAATATCCCAATAATAACTTCTTTTTATGGCTCATAGGAGTTTGATCTGAGCTCTGTAGACTAAATTTATGGGTAAGTCCATACTAGTTTGTCCCATACATTACAAACCACATCTAAGACTTAAGTACTTCTGATGACTTTATCAAGCTGTTGGCCTGTTATAAATATTGAATAAAGCCATATTTTTATGTCAATTTCTGTTCACAATTCCATGATACTTTTCAATAGTACTATGTAGCATATGGTACATACCTTTGACTCACCCAAGTGATCTTGTTTGAATGCAGGTTTGGCTCTTCCCGATGCTCCTACCAGTGTCATGGTGGAGATGATCACACCAACCTCTATCAATGTATCATGGACTCCTGTGCCTCAAAGACCATCCTATGGGAATGTGTATGGATACAGGGTAAGCAATCATGCTTGTATCATCCATCTTCAACAGTAAAACATGTTTATGAAAGTCTCTTGTATTGTATGAAAGGTGAAGAGAAATAGAAAGGGTGTTTCTAATTCATGTACATTGTTGATGGCAGAAACTTGGATTGAACGGATTGAACAGACTTAAAATCATCTCCAGTGCATTAATAGATCCGGATGATTTAGCCTTTCTGTTTTCAAATTCCTAATTGTATTCTTTTAACATTTCTATGTTATTCTATCTGGTCATAGTATCCCCTTTTCCCTCTATCTTTGTCCATGTTCATCAGTTCATTTTATATGCATAAAAAATTATTTGATGCACGTTATTATATATTTATGATATCCATTAGTAATTGTCCTCTCTTTATTCCTGTCTTTGCTTCTCTCTCTTGTCCCTCTTTCTTTTTCTCACTCTTCTTTCTTTTCTCTCTCTTTGTCTGTCTCTCTGTCTCTCTCACACTCTCTTCTCTCTCTCTCTCTCTCTCTCTCTCTCTCTCTCTCTCTCTCTCTCTCTCTATGTCTATCCACCCTGTGACATACTACAGGTAGTAGTCCAAGCATCAGAAGCTGTGTTTGGAGCTAGACCAGAGAGCTGCCTGTCGACCACCTCAAACTGTGAGATAGCAGGTCTACAGCGAGGCAACACATACAGAGTGACTGTGATAGCCAATGGAGAGGGTGGTGAGGGATTCAGCTCCATGCCTGTTACAATAACCGTTCCCAAAGATTGTAAGTTTTAAGGAGACTTGGCAAAACGCTTCGCTCTTTATATCATTAGAGGTTGGGGTTGTCGTCATACTTGGGTTTTATATTAGTTTTGGGTTAAAGTTGAGTATAGTGGTGGGTCCAGGGTTGAAGTTTGGTTGGTGTAGGAAATTGTTGCAAGAGCAAGTGTGGTGCAACCAAGTTGTAATGCTGATTTTTTTTTTGTATCAGCAAGACATGTGAATGCGCAGGTAGCCTCTTTTTTCCCACTGTCCTGGGCATAAAAGGGTATGGAACCTCTAATAAAATGTCTTTGGTAAAAAATACTTTAAGAATTATTGCTTTACTTTATAATGTTAGGATAGGTGTGTACATGTACATGAACCAAGAGCTACAGATTAATTAATTAGTTTACTGTAATTGTATACATATCTATTATTTAAAAATCAAGACTAAAAATGCTCATAATCATGTTTAATAATTTTGATTGCCTTATATATTTTAAGGCATTTTGCAATCTCTAAATGGATGAGAAACAATGCGATACTTGCTGACTCTATGCTAAGATTATCTTTATTTCTCTCCTTTTCTTTTTAAATAGCAATATCTGATTTCAGTGTGGGATTTCTGAGCTATTTTGGTGCCAATAATACTGTAGAGTGATGTTTGCACAATTTGATTGAAATGTTTTTCTTGATGTGTTTGTTGCCAGTGCCCTCTGCAGTGCGTAAGATGAAGGTGAGAACATGGGCTAGGACAATGCTCATCAAATGGGAACCACCAGAGATTGGAGAGATACAGGGTTATGTTATCATCTATCAATCAAGTGAGTCTGCCAATTATTGGATATTGTTTATCTCCTTTTTCCTCCTCATCCTTTTTCCTTATTCCTCCTCCCTCTGATAATTCCTAAGATCAGTGGTATTACCAAAATGCTGAAGTCTTCCACATAGTTGTATAGAGGTACAATTGAGCTTGTATATACTTTTTTCCAAGCACATTTACGATTACATATGTATCCCTCTTTTCATGATGATGACGACGATGATAATGATGGTGATGACAATGATGTCGATGATGATGATGACAATGATGTCGATGATGATGATAATAATGCTGATGTTGATACTGCACCTGCAGTTGAGGATCATGATATTGAGAATAAAGTTCATGCTCATTTAAAGCCCTTTCAAAGTGAAATTGACATATTTCTCCTCGTTGATTCTCACCTTTCAGCTACTAGTGATGCGATGACTGTTGAGGAGAGATTGGATAATCCCATAGAAAACAGTCTCAAGATCGGAGGTTTGACCCCAGGGTCGGCTTATCATGTGACGATAGCTGCATTCAACGAGGGAGGTCGAGGAGAGCCAATGTCAATGGACATCAATACTAAACCAAGCAGTGAGTATTTGCTGTCTATATACCAAAGGCATATCTGGGCAACTCCAAGGTGTTTGATCATTAGGTATTCCATACATGACCAAATAATGTAGAAATTGCCATCAAATGTGGGTTGTTAATTAAACATCTTCTCACTGAGGAAGCAATACTTGATTTTTCATCAGTGAGCTACTTTTCAATTATAAATTACTGACAATGATTTTAAACGGAAAGAATAATATTTGCTCTTCACATTTTATGTATTTACTTGTATATTGGGATGTTTTTGTTGATTTGTCATTGTTGAGCATCAGAGTGGAGAAGATATTTCTTTTGATACCTATGAGGAAATCAGAAGTGATATGAACTTACCCATGCAATACTTTTATGTTTTTGAAATGTTCATCTGTACTGTGAATATTACATTCTAATGTTTCATGTGTTCTTGTTGTGTCCTTGCTTTCTCAGAATCAAAGCGATCCCACCACCAATGAGTCACCTAGCAACAGTGCTCATGCTTGAATATACGACGACTCAGCCACGTGCCTATTTATCATCACCGTCTACGGACATTGTACATAACATGCCATCTAGGCTTCTAGCAACCTTCACATTGAGTGGGCTAGCTGTCGTCCATTCCTATTGCATTTCTCAGGCTGAGTGATACTTTACCAGCAGTCTTGAGATCACTGGAATGATGATATGTGATAGTGAATAGCCAGAGTCCATATTCAGTGAAGACTTCAGCCTTTCGATCCAGATGGATCCTTTCACCTTTCTTGAATAGAAATGTGTTTCAAAGTCAATAATATGGCCATCATCTCATGTCCAGTTTTAAGGGTGTACATAGGATTTTGGAAGGAAAAGTTCACTTTATGCTCTGAACTATACAAAATCATATTTCATTCCTAATGGTAATTTTCTTTGATGAAGTGGCCTGTAATGAACATCAACATTATTTCAGGGAAGAGGAGTTGGAATAAAAATATTCATTACATTTATTTATCTTATTGTTTTTATTCAATTTGAGGCATTTAAAATGTATTTCTATGATTGTACATGATTATTTTTAAAGCTAATGTGAATTTTTTTCAATGTGTCGCCCGATAGATTCTTTGGTCACTAAAATCTGTGTACATAGTTCTATTTTGCTTGGAGTAGCGTGAAAATTGACTTAAATTCACACAAAATTTAACCATTAATACCTACATGAATTAGGTTATTTCTGTATTAAGCCTATGGGAATGTGATAATTCTATAGTCAATGGATTAATGTGTTCCAATTTAGCTCTTACAAACTGAATTATACTACTGTAAAACCCAAAACTTTCACAATTCCTTTTTTTTGCAATGGCTGCTTTCAACCAGGAATTTTTGGCAATTTCAGACTTTAGTAAATGAGGACCACTCATGAAATTTGCTAAAATGTTTCTTGTATGTGATGGTTTCTGGTTTGGCAGTATTTCTTTCAGTCATGTTAGACTTGGACAAATGCAGTACAGAATACACTTGAATCTTAAACTTTCTATATTCTGTTTAGGGAACATACAAATCATTAAATGTTATGAACTGCTTTTTCTTCAGGTAAAATGATACATTATTTGTTTAAAAAATCAAGTCAAGCTACAAAGAAGTATGTGTTGCCTTGTAATTTGAATTTTAGAATGAATACCACCCATTGATGGTACATGTCAAGATTGGTAATAATCAAGCTTTGTCTTGCTCCTGTTACACTGGTAAACAAAAAAGGCACTTATGAATGTCTTTGAGATTCTACAGAAATGTTTCTTTGTAATACTTTGTAATCACTGTTTAATATTTACATGTCTGCAGCAGATTTTATAATCTATATTTAATGCAAGAACTTTAAAATTAAAAGTGCCAAGTTCTCATGCAAATTATGTGATACCAAAATAATGATTTGTGACATTTTGGATTCTGTCAAGAAAGTTGTTGAAATGTCTTTGCTTATTGTTTACTCAGCATCAAAACAAAGGACCACTGGTAAGCTATGTTTACCCATGTACTATACACACTGCACTGTCACATAAATGGCATCACTCATTGTGCATCAAGCAAGTCAGAATAATAAAGTAAAGGACAAGGATGTCAATTATAATGATCATATTTTATATGTTTGATTCAACATCCTATATTCATTTTTACAAGAGTTTTAATTACTGTACATAGAACAATACATAAACTTGTATTATTGTTCTTAATCTTATAGATTATGTAACACAATAAAATGTATATTTTTGAAATTCATCTTCAACACATTGAACTCTGTTTGTTTGTTTGTTTGAAGTACTACATTTTGTCATGAATTATCTATATTTATTTGCCCTTATAAGTAGATCAGTAGCTTAATCTGATATGTAGTATCTAAAACAGAATAACTGATATGAAGTCAGATGAATTGCAAAAATGTCATCAGGAAGTACTATACCTCAAAACTACCCCATGGTTCAATTTGTAAACTTACCAACGTAATGAAAAATATTCCTTTTCTTTTATGTTCACTTAATACAGATTGTACACAGCATGTGCAAATTAAAAAATAAAACATTCTTCACTGTACTTAAGATCGTATTTTTCCTCCTGGTAAAATTTCAAAAAATATATTTCAAATTAAAGGAGAAATCTTGGTTCCTGATAGATCATTAATTTTTTAAATTGTATGCATCAGTTTAATACTCAGTTACATGTGTTCACACACAAAACGTTGAATAAGAAGTCACTCATTAATCTCCACATGTACAATTTACAAATATGCATATTGTTTACATTTACACAAATAATACATGGACACATACATACGTACACAGTTTAAATAGGAAATCTAACTCCCATATTCTACAGTCATAAAAATAATATGAAATGGATTTGGGAAAGACGCACCATCCAAACCTTTGTAATAAAATTGAAGTAATATAATAACATGCATGATTGCAGCTTCTATATGTGCATGCATGATTGCAGTTTCTACATGTATAAACATGCATTTAAAGACACAGTTGTGACCAGCAAAAATAAATGTCTTGGGGGGGGGGGGAAATAACAATTTCCAATACACAAATCATCCGTTTGGTGTCAGGTGGGTATTACTGTTAATTCATATACGTATACCGGTACTTTAACATAGAGTGCATTCATGCCCTTCCAGCTCCAAACACACAATATAATAATAATAATAAAAACGTTGCTTACAGGCTGTATGAAGCGCTTACCACCGAAGTCTCATTTCATCTTTTTAACATCTATTGCAAACCCATTGCAGCATTATGTAACGGTATCTCCATGAAAAAAGGCATTTCCAGACTAATATAATACAGTGAAACCTGTCTATAAAGACCACCCAAGGGAGACAAGAAAGGTGTCTTTATAGGCAGGTGGTTTTTATGTACGGGTGCCTATAGTACATGTTTTAATGAGAAACCATTTTCAAGGGAAACAAAAAATGTGGTCTTTGTAGACAGGTGGTTACTAAAGCAGGTTCGAACATGTACTATGACTACACTAGATTAGAATACTCCACTTTTCTTTACAGGCTGTATATGGATGGCAATGAAATTCAAAAATGGCAGCATATGACAAGAAAATATACACTCCTCAATTGCACTTGACATACCTGAACACTTCAAATCTGATATATCTCTCAAATGTGATTTGGACTGTGGAAACATTATAAATTCCACAATCACAGTTGAGGAATAGAGGTGATAAGTAATGGAAAATGATTGTACATTGTTATTGGACTGAAGAAGGTATTAAACATACCTGTATGCATTGGTTCAAAAAATGTAATACTGTACTTAATGGTCCATGGAAATAAAATAGCCTTTCTTAGCATTTATTCTTTTGCCAAATCCAATTTTACGCTCCACAGCTGAACAAAAAGACATTTTTATCTTTACAAAATAGAATCCCTCCAGAAATGGAGGCAAATGCTGAAAATTTGAAAATGATTATATTATTATGAGGAAATAAAGAAGACCAGAAATGGTTATTTTACACACAAAAAAAAATCTTTACCAAATAGAAAGTATGATAAATGTCAAGATTTTTTCTTTCAATCAAAATGTCACAACATTCACAATAGATCATATCAATTATATATCAATTCATCATAATAATTCATCTCAAACACTAGCCTTTTGTGTAATCTTATTACCAACTGGATTTCAAACTGAATTATTAACAGGTGCAGAGTGAGTTCACAAAATGAAGCACTTACACCATTTGAAAAGCTGAAATCTTACATGAGTTGCACAGCGACAAACTTTCACTTTTTATCTATTATTTGTTTTTGTTGTAAAAGGGATATAGAACTCTGTATATGGTGATGTAATGAAAATTGTAATACTGTAATGTTTACATGGCCTTAATTCATCATCTAAATTCCTTGTAAAATGCCCTGAAATTCAAACAAGCTCTCCATGGAGTGTGGATGCTGCTGAGTCTGCACTGGTATGACATTAGGTCACTGGTGCAGAGGATTAGCATGTATCAAATTACACCAAACCATCTTACAACAAATTAGCACTAGCCCATTTATCATTTTTTAATAAAGAAGTCCACTCCTCATTCACCTTAAAGATTGAAAATTTCTAACAAACCTCATTCATTTCCTAAATCTATGAAAAATCATTGATTGTAAACTTCATCATTAAGATTGTCAAATTTGTCAAGCAATAGCTTCCAATGATTTAACACCAGAAATAATTTCATGAGGTGAAAATTTAATAAACTTGTTGAGTCATCGAGAGTCAACCACTCTTCTGAAACATAAAGCACCTCTCACAAACTGCTAAACAATGTCTGTGATGTAAGAAACTTCATGTTTAGTACTCCAGCCACTTGCATGATTCTCAACTCACTGCAAAATCTAGCGCCTCGTGCTGCAGCTGGTCATCGGTATATATCCTTCTGAAGTTTGACCCAATCCGTTGCTTTCTGAAGACTGGACTTCTCCCTGGTCAGTACTCCGGCCGCTTGCATGATCCTGAGTTCATTGATGGATACAAAGTCTAGAGCCTCCTGCTGCAGCTGGTCAAGCTTGTCTGGACGATTCTCATCCAGTAGGAAGTCTTCGGACATGAGGGTGTTGAAACGGAAGTATGATCCTGCTGGGAGCAAGTCTTGGAGGGTTGTGTGCACAGCTATAGAAAGAAACAGATATCCACAGTACAGTTAAAACTGAGCAAGATATAAATACATCTTTTTGTAAGTATGTAACAATAGCAAGCTTATTTGAAAAGTAAACAACTGAAAAGAAATCAATCATTACATTAAATCAGTGTGCACCAACTACGTATACACATGTGTTTCCCTCTTCATAAAAGATAGCTGACACATACAAGACTAAATCTTATTTATAGAAAAGAGGGGTGAACCAGTATAGGAATAGCACTAATGATATCACCATGTAATTAGAAAACTCATGGTTTCTGGAAATGTGTTTAAATGAGAAGCATCTTTTGAAGAGAAACAAGAAATTTGGCCTTTATAGACGGACGACCTTCTCTATTTGATTATATCTATTTGTCTTAGACTCACATTCTGTGTCTGTAGCACTGATCATGATCTGGTAGAGCTTCTTCTTGAGACTGCTGTACTCAGGTAACTCTAATCCTTCCTCCATAGGATCGTACCGCCCTGTTCCTAGTGACACCACACACTGGATGGGTGTGTCTGGCCAAAGAAGCTTGCTCTCATGTAAGCCTAGAGCACTTGGGTTGTTTGTTAGTACACCACCATCCTGTTGGTAAAGTCACATATACATGTAGTTTCAATTAGTACTTGAGAAACATGGTTACAATTGGTACATGTATATGTCCATGTTACATGCATATTCTTAGTGATGCCTCGTTGAGAGCGTCTAATGGCCACAGCAAATTGCTCTCAAATAACCCAGAACACTGTTTTTTAAGTACATGTTATTATCACCGTTCTTCAGGATCAAATAGAGTTTGATTGGTAGCAAATATAAGACTACAAGTTATTATATACTTGAGTGACCCTGCACACCAGCCAGTCAATTTGCGTAATTGAATGCTTTGTAACTAGGAAATTTAAAATATATTCTACAAATCAATCCCTCCGAGACAATTATCCAACTAAAATGCATGATTGCCCAGGGGCATATATAGGTGTTCAATAAGAGTTGGATAAAGCTTACATAGAACAAACATTTTCACAGGCTGAATCTCCAGCACCCAGGATCTACTCTATACTCATAGTCAGTCCATACGCTATCGTCTGACTTTCAAACAACAAATCAAAGACTAAATCTATCCACCATTTGAAACACCTTGCTTTACACATATTTCATAAACTCCAGCCAATTTTGTATCAGCACAGCTGAATATATTTTGTATAAAAGCTGCGCTATATAAATGTATTATTATTATTATTATTATTATTATTTATGAATAAGTGTGTTACCTGAAAGACATGGTCATCAAGTTTGTACTCTTCAAAGTATCCAGGAGCTGCTGAGGAAGCTCTGAGCCCCTCACAAAGCTGGTACTTGGATGAACCTTGGTAGAAGGATGTGGTGTTGGGAGGTGGGTTGTAGTTACGGAAGAGGTAGTTCTTGATGGGACCTGCATTCATCAGTGTAGCTAGAGCAGCAACCTACATTAACACACAAATAGATACCATTGGTAAAATCGCAACAGTATGCATTCTAATTGTCCTCTTAAACTTTTCCTTTCTGTTTCAACCATTGCTGTAATTAAAATGACGATATTTATTAGATCACATGTGTTATAATGTGAAAACCTTTTTATATGTTTTTAATAACTAATAATTAGTCCATTCAGGAATTTTGCCAATAACTCTTTTTCTTTATGAGCACTAGAAAGAATCTCACATAAGATAATCTTCTTCACTTTTCAATATCAGCAAAATATAGGTATATTAGCAATATTTGCATCAAAAAGTTTGAACAAAAATCAAGACATGGTAAAAGAGTAAATGAGAACTGATTACCGGTAGTAGTAATATCTCCTACACTTGGTACTCACTTGTCTTAACATTATGACAATATAACATGAAGAATTTAGATATATACAATACGCCACATGCATGTATACTACTATCAATATATGTGAAGTCTATTTTCAACTCTACCTTTGGACAATTTGGATCCTGCGACATTTCAATGGCTGGACTTTGTCCAACACCTTGCATGTGGCTCCTGATCAAAGAGAAGAAAAACAAAAAGAAAATATTTGAGGAGAGTGAATGTTAGCACTTCCGGAAAAAAAAATCTTAATATTACAGTAATTTTTAAAAAGCACTGCACAATATAAGTATCAGAAATTTTATTTTGATATTGTTTGATCAAATATGAGTGAGAACAAAAATTCAATTCACATAAACATTAAAAATGGAAAAACATTTCAACAAACCATACAAATATTAAAACAGCTTTACAATTATATTCTTGTCAAGAATTGACATTGCTGCAACACCAGAAACATTCATAAGAAGAAACCTTTACACATTGCAAAAGTTCAGTGCTGAGAAACTTTTGTGAATCTGGATCAGTCGTGAAATTTGCAAACATTTCATATGCACATACCGGGTAAGTTTATATTTTTACAGTATTCTACTGGGTTTTGCAGATGAGCCGTTACCTCAAGATTTTCATCCAAGCATCTGTATCATAGAAGGCATGACTAAAGAACAGCTTGCTGGTACCAAGTAGTGTGTTCCTATTGAAGACCTCTACACTCATCTCCTTAAAGAGCTGTTCACATACATCCAGAGAGGCCTTGGCATAGGCTAGGAGGTAGACTAAGACAGCACCTGAGCTCACACCAATGATGTAATCAAACATCTCATGCACAGGCTTGCCAGACTGTCTCTCTAGCTCTCTTAGGATCTCAATAGCAATGATACCCCTGAAAAAAAAATGAAAGTGAGAAATGTTTAAATTATTTCAATATCGCTAACAATGCAATCAAATGAATTCATAAAAAGAAGTATTTCTATAAAAGTGCTGGGTCAATGCAAGTATTTTTGTATTTTGACCATAATTGGTTATTTCCATTTTAACAATAAATTGACTTTACTACATGAAGGATGCTAATTCTACCATTTTTTCTGAGACTTAAAGAGAAATACATCCAATATATACAACCTCTTAAAGGTGACTCCAGCAAACTGTGTGACCAATGAGAAATGAGACAGGGCTGTTACTGTACTACAGCATTTCCATCACTGTGCAGGGGTGGTGTTCTATATTGCACTGTGTACATGTGTGTATCAGCTAAAAATGTTATTTTGAACTTTGATCTTGATTTGATAAGTATCCCCATACCTTGAGCCTCCACCATCAACAGAGAGAATCCTTACGCCCCTGTTTTTGACCGGTGAGGCGTACCCCAGCTGAGCAAGCAGCTGATGGACTTGAGCAAGGATGTCAGTGTCTTTGATCTTCTGTTTGTGCTTCAGGAGTGTTGGTATTAGCCTCTCCTGTATGGCAGCCTGCCTTGACTCTGGGAACTGGACAAGGTGATCGCATAGGCGCTCAAGCTTCACGAGGCGGGAGGCATTGGAGGTGGCAGTGTTGATTCCTAGGGCTAGAGACTTGGTCCTGGCATCTACATTGGCTTTTGATATGACCTATAGAGGGGGACAAAGGTATACAGAATGAAAAAATAAATATTTACCTTTTGTATTGCTTATTCACTTTATAGCTTTCCAAATTCTGATAATTTTAAATGCTCATTAGTCCCAAACATTTTCTTTCAAGAAAAAATAATCAAGACTCGTTTGTCTTTCTCATTGTCTTTTTTTCCATTATTAAAAGTGGTGTTAAAATGCACTGTTGGTTGTAAAAATCAAGAAGAGAAACTGCAAAAATTACTTATAAAGCATTTGGCGGATCAGGTTTAAAACTGCTACAGATTTGCCCAGTAGTAATATCCCTTTTTTTTTCAAGAATGAAGAATGAATGGCCTAACAGATTTGCACTTTACAGTAAAATGAAAGAAAACTTACTGGTCTGACTGTCTTTCTTGCAGACTTGTCTGCCTCAGCTGCCTTTAGCTTTGCACTCTCCTCCTTGATCTTGTCTGCAACAGCAGCATAACTCTTGCTATCTCCAGGAACTCCTGATGCATCTTTGCTATTCAAGGCATCTGTCATCTCTAATAATGGTATATCTGAATCAAAATATGCTGTGTTCTCATCGCTTGCAGATAGAGGTACGACAGGTTTCTCCTTTCTCCAACTTGAGAGGAGCCAGTTTGGTGAGCTGAAGAGATTTATCTGAATGTACTTGAGGTTGTAGTTGTTGTAAATATAGGAGGCATTGCCTTGTTGTTGCTTGGCTGTTTCATCTGTCTCTACTGACTGCACACTCGAAGATGATGCACTTTGGGTTGTGTAGGAGTCTGTCTTATATTCAACCGATGTGTGGGGATTCTCAAGATTATTAGACGTAGTAATCTTACTAGTAGCTTTATCTTTCTCTAGATCTCTATCATTTGATGGAGAACTGACAGCTGCAGATGATGATGATGTAAAACCCAACTTTTTGAAGATGTTATATGCATTACTTGATGATAGAGGGGGAATTTCGGGCACAAATTCAGCTGCTGGTGGCACATTTTCCTGCATTTTTGAGGTAGATCTTGCAATATCTAAATTCAACTGTTTTGGATCTTTAGTGTCTGTTATGCACTCTGATGAATTTGAAGGGTGTGACTCAGATTGATAATGCTCTGAATCAAGCTGGCTTTCTGGCATAGGTTTGTTGTTTGCATGCTGGTTCCCTGATGCTACAGCATCTCCAAACCTCTTCCGATGGAGTACACGTGTAGCAGAAAGGCCCATTTCAGTCAAAGCAGAAACTGATGCATACTTCTTCAGAGACGGAAACTCAACCCAGTAGGTTGCACCCTTCTTTTCTAAATCAGGAATCTGGAATTCCACAGGTTTTCTTTCATCTAGTCTCTCCTCTACACTTGCAGGAGTAGCAATTTGAGGTTTTGTGTGGTGTTCAATATCTCCTCTATTTGGCACTTGGTTTACTTCAATCTTCTCATTCTGAAGTGGAAGATTCTGGTTTTCTTGGTCGTCCCTCTTTTCACTTAACACCTTGTGATCTCTGGCAGAGAGTTTGGGTAACATCTGGTAACTGTACAAGAGGACAGGGGTGAATACTCCATCCACAATCTTCCTCTGTACTGAGTTGCTCACAGACCCAGCAGCATGATATAGGCTTGCCAAGGACATGGCATTCTCCTTCCTAGTATTACCTTTCTGTGATTTAGAAGACTTGAATCTTGCACTTATATAGGTGAATTGTTTGTGTCCATGCTGAAGACTGCTGCCGCTGGCAATATTGAGGTATGCAGCACTTGTCAGCATGGCAGCCTTGCCTGACCTATACTTGGCCTTGCAGCATTTATGGAGTTTCCTCCTGTGCCAGTTGTTATTTTCGAGCTGCCTCCAAATGATAAGTCGACCCATTAAAACAGGCTTCTGTATATCCATTGCTGCAATATTTTTGTGACTGTACTTGTGAAAGTTTTAGAAGGAATTTCAGTTTTTGGATATCTTCATTTTGTATCTTTGATTACAGCATGGTGTAGTTGCACAGCTTTGGTTACTCGTTATGCAAAGCAAATCTTGGAGAAGTACTGAAAGAGAAAAATGTAAGAGAAACTAACAAACTTAAGGTTTTTTTAAAGGAAAAAATGTACTCTGATTTCTTACATATTAGCTACATATCACTGGACACTGAAATTACAAAATCTGCAGTAAAGAATATGATTGTAATGCATCACTCTAGAAGCACAACAATTAGAAAGTCCTGCAATGAGATACATTATTTGGGCATGATTTGAACCCTTTTTAGTTGAGGGCAGCGATTCCTTTTTTTTTTTATCTAAGAGAAGTACATGTACGCAAGCACAATGTTAGTAGCAATATGCAGGAGGTAAACTGATAAATGAAGTCCCAATGCTTTCACTTAGGGAAATCATTAGAAATTTATATCTAAGACTAATGAACTACAGCGTTTACCTGGCTGAGCCTAGTTTATAGATCTGACAAGGACTAGCCTAAAGGGCTAGGTAATTATACGAAATATGATATTGATATCACGTAGCCTTAATTGGCACCCATAAAGAGGGATGTAAATAAAACCTAAATTTCATATATATAACCCATTTCCATACCAACGAACATTGCACACTAGTGGACACTCCCTTTCTTCTCATACAAAGCACTTTAAAAGTGGTCACAAATTTAAGAATGGCCTCAATGGGTGATTACAACACATTTTAGGTTTTGTTTAGTGCTGTAACATCACGGATATCTCTAATTCCGTTTAAACCGCCTGTCAAAACCGGACGGTTTTCGGTTAAACGATTTATTTAAAAAAAAAATTTAAAAAATAAATAAAAAAAATTAAAAAAAAAAATTATTTAAAAAAAAAACAACAACAACAAAAAACGGGAAAACGAAACCGTCCAATTGAAAACGGAATCCGCCATGGGCGGTCGGATACCGGACGGCTAAACGTTTGATTACAGCACTAGTTTTGTTTACATCACTCTTCAATCTTCATTAAGGCATATATGGGTGCCAATTAATTCTATTGTAGAGGTGATATTAGTATCACATTTCATTTTATCACCTAGCCCTTAAGGAGAAGTAAAACAGAGGTTGACACTAATTGTCACTATACACAAAGGCTCAAGAATATGGCTCCAATTCACTTCATCCAATTCACAACTTTGTGAAGTTATCTACCGTAATGAGGATCTGAGACATTACGATAGATAACTTCACAGGCGCGCGCCCGCCCGCAACCCACCATCGGTATGCACTTGTATTGTGCAGCGGTTTGCCGTGAAACCTGTGAAAAAGTGTATACTAATATCATTGTTTTCCCGAAAAATACTCCAAAAATAACAAGACAATTGACACAAAACAGGTAATAAACATAATGTTACGGCCCTCCATTCTAGAACGGGTCCTGGATGCTGGAGGGCTGGCCTGTCCCTTGCCTCTATCACCGTCATCCGACGAAAAAGTTTGCCATCCTGACTAATGCGAGCGGTTTCTATTTGGCTTGTAATTTAGAGGCCCAGACGTGGCTCTGTTTTACCAAAGTATATGGGTGTGGAGATGAGAGGTGTTTTGGATAGGTGGATGTGTATTCTCTATGAGAGGGTTATATTACGTCAGTCTATGGAGACTCAACTAATCACACTTTATGAAACGATGGATTGTTTAACTGTATACTTTAATAATACAAACATAAATCAACATCTCCAACACGCTATCATAGTTAACACCGACACCGATTACCTGGATTAATCTCAACAAGTAGTAAAGGCAGGGATTGCCTTTTGTAGGAACTCTATTTCTCGTTTCCAAACCTTTTCCTTATTTTAGCTCAGTTGGAGCGGAGCGGAGAGTTCGCTATCTGACAACGACGAGAGCCAGCGTCGAAGTAACAAATTCCCCGCACAACATCGCTATTTATAGTCTCCGAGAGCTGCTTTATGCATGGTGCGTCCGTAATCGCGCTCTGAGCCCTTACGCCCCAAAAGCTTACTGTGCCCTCCATGTTTCCTGCAAGATAACTGAAATTGTGGCGAACTGGTTCGTTACAATAACGACTTTTATACAACTCACTCCCAGATCCTAATCAAATGATTGGTCATGCGCGGTCACGTGTGATTCATTTACTGAGCCTTTTCATGAAAAGGAGTGCAATATTTACCAGTACTATTGAACTCGTTTTCAGAGCGCGCAGTAGTGCGCGTAGAGGTTAGAGTGCGTAATAATGCGTGTGCATGGGCCTATTCTTGCGCAGCACTATGCGTAAATGGGTCCAGAGGTAAGTGCGCTTGCTATATCTATACTTATGTGTGCGCACTAAATTGAGACTTATTTAAACTTGAGATTTATTTGTCAGCCATATACTGTCACAAAACAATCTTGAATTCATTCTTTTTACATCAAATAACAAGGATCTAGGAGTTTCGTTGTATAAAACAAATGATGCATGTTTTCATTCGTTTATTATACAATCTATCCGCCCTCGTTAATGCTGTGTGTACATGTATCTATCACACTCAGCCTTACGGCTTCGTGCAATAGATACACACAGCCTCAACTCAAGTGCGGATAGATCGTATAATGAACTCATGCGCATGCATCATTTGTATATTAACTCATGATCTTTATTTGGACATTTAATGAATATTTACTTCATTTTGGGTATGTTTTAGTAGGGTATCTCCACGCCAGAGTTATGGGTCAAATTTTGGATAGGTTTCTGAACAAGCGCGCGCCGAAACCTCGCCTGCACTGCATTTACCACTAACGTGCTTTATTTGTATATTAAATTAATTTTATTATCACGCCTGAAATGGAAAGTACCACGCCATCACAAATCATTGCATTGGCATGATTGGTAAATATTTTGCATGACCCTCAAAATTGTAAGTAAAAAGTGTTACTAACTGATTGTATGATATCTTGCCTTGCAAATTATGATAGTATTACCTTATTTTTGATGGATCACACTTTTTGATAAATCAACTGTAAACCCCCGTGCGTTGTTTTTATGACTTTTTTAGATGCAGCGCGCACAAACGATCGGACATCAAATTTTTAGATCGCGATATCTCCAAAATCCTTTGACGATAAATTTTCTAGTTGAACTAATCTGTAGTAAATAACTTTGCCATCCATTTGGTAATAATTGAAATAAATACATTTGTGTAGAATATGAGAAATCCTAGTTCGAATATCACATTTTGTAATATGTTCTAAAATGTCAGCGAACTTTGGTCACCCCTTCTACTACAAAAACAAAACGCACCATAAAAAATTAACACACGCAGCCACGGCACGGTCAACACGCAAAAGTCACATCACACTGCAATTGCAAATTCATTTGAATGAATGAATGATAACGTTGGTACGAAATCATTCACATACCTAAAACATCAGTGAACAGTAGCCCGATGAAGACAAAAATATAAACATTATGAATACATTAAAATTATGACATTACTAATACATCGAATCATATCTGATCACTAAATACTTACAAATTACAACTGACCTCCTTTCGCTTGCATTGCTTCGTATGTCTCGCTAATGTTATTGTGTACGTGTGTAGCATTATCATGCCGTTCACTGGATCTCGTCATACGATGGGTGTTGTCAAAATACTGATCGCTGATTGGTGCAATTGAAACCTTTAACCCAGCGTTGATCGAAAATATAAACAAATCTCACGTCATACACGTTTTGGCACAAGTTGCTTGTTATTGTTTAGATAGTCTCATTGTTGTGTAATTTTTTTGGCAATAAGCCAAGTTGAACTCTTTAAAACAATGCATTTTCTCACGTTGCAAGGATTAAAAAAGAAGAAATTGCATTGTCTATCACAGTATCAGTTTTATCAACGATTAGAATAGAGGTCGTGAATCAGAAAACAGTATGAGAAGGCGTTCTTTCGTTAGCTTTTGAACCTTGAGGAGGGGCGGGGCGGGGGAGCGTGCCGAATTGACGAATTCTGAGATTGTAAATCATGGGGGGGGGGGGGGGGGGGGGGGTGGGGGGATTCCTCATGAAACAATTCTAACTTAGAACATTTCTAGAAGTACAGAAATAATATTTCGAAATAGGGGGGGGGGGTGGGTTGGGCTGCAACTTATCTTTGTGAATATTTCCTATATTCAGAGTGAAAGATAATGTGAACACAGGGGTGTCGGAGTCCATCCCTCATTCTTTGAAAAAAATGCAGATTAATGTATAGTTTTTAAATTCAAGGTTACTGCTTAGCTGCTGGATTAATGATTATTTCAGTTTATATAGCCTTCGAGTAGGGTACTAAAATTACTCGTTTCTGAAAATCTGCATGAGGGCTAGAATAATGAATATCGTGAATACTCAATTAGTGAAGTTTATGCTACTGGTATTCCAAAATAATCATGAGAAGGGTCTCTCTTTATTTTTGATTTCTTTTTTTTATTCTGGTTTCTTTTATCAATAAGTTATATGCTCTAATTTCTTTTCTCTTTCATTAATCCAAAAAACAAACAAAAAGTGTGAATCTCATAAAAACTAACGAATTGTTTGGGCGTATTTGGGCTTTTTCAGGGGGTAGGCCGGTAGGAGAGAGAGAGAGAGAGAGAGAGAGAGTGGGAGTGGGGTGTGTGGGGGAGCACATAATGTATGTAAGCCATAAGAAAAGAAGGATCTGCATGTTTAGAAACAGTCAAACCTGTCTATTAAGGCCGGCCAAAGGAAAGAGGATAGCCTAAACTTCCAAACAGGTTGTACAACACATATTTCTTTCTCAAGGGGAAAAAAAATGGCCACTATGGACCGATCGATGGCCACCAAAACATGTTTGAATGTCTATTAATGTTCATCTACAGGAAAAACAACTTTATCTATGTTTTAAATGTGAACTCAATTAGGGCCTACATATCTGGTAATTAGAACATTAGAGAATTTGGGTGAAGCCATACCAGAAGTGGATCAGAGAATTGTATGCAAATCGTAAAGGATTGTAAATGCAACGTGGAGTAAACAGTGTATTTGTTATTTTTAGAACACAGTGAACATATTTGATGAGGGTGGGGAATAATTCGTTGTTATTTGTTATAACACCGTATAACACAAGAAAAATCTCAAAATTACCATATTTCATTTCTCTCATCTGATTGCATGTTATCCATATACTCACCAATGAAAATGTAAAATGTAATTTATTTATTATTTTTTACAACCAGTATTCTCTCTGTCGTAATTGTACTTTTTACCTTATTTTCGATATGTCTGATATACACTCTCATCCTCAGCATTATCTTTTATATATATATATATATATATCTATCTCTCGCTTTGTCTCTCTTTCTCTTTCCCTCTCTCCCTTTCTCTCTTTCTCTCCCTCTCTGTCTGTCTCTATCTCACACTTTTCCTGTGTCTCCCGTGCTGTCTGCACTATTATCCTCCCTATCTCTCTTTTATATTTCCCTCCAGCCCTATGATGATTGTGGAATAGAATGTTAAGCGAATTTTATGAATTGTATTAATTTGTATTATGTGTACACTGATTTTTTAATTCATTCACTGCGTGATATGTTTTAATACGTTTTATGTTTGTATAAATATTTATGTTTTTACAATGTACAAAGTTCTGCAATTCAACCATCTGGCTGCAAATGAATTTTTAATAAAACCATTACCATTACCATTACGTTATAACTTATACGGGATTTGGCTTGTGTGAACCCGTGTGTGCACTTTAAAAAACGACATCAGAACTATACCACCCAAAGAAAAGCTCCCCCACCTCCCGTGGCTTATGGACATAATTTGTCTTTTCGTTCTGATCAAGGGTGATGTATGATCATGAATGCCTATTTTTGTTTTCATAGGTTTTTATTCTCTTCTCTATTATGGCTACTGCCCCCGCCAATCTATATCGATGCCCCCTACCCACGAAACTAACCGTTTTTATGGGAAACTACACAAGTCTATTACGAGGAAGGATAATTTCCGAAGCCACAGATGACCATCTTGATAAATTGAACCTAGCTACCAAAGACGTTTAAATATAGCTACTATAGGTCCATGCTGATAACTGTATATATCGGAAACATTTAGGATGTTTATATATATAAACGAGGACAATCACCGCCCCGAGGACCATTACGCCCCCCCCCCCTCGAATCTGCATTAACTAAAACCAACATATTATTCGGGTGGACTGGTGGGTAATTCTCGAGGGGGAATATTGTCATGGAGTTAATTTAGAGTGGTTCGGGAAAAGGGGGGGAAGGGATCGAGGTGGTGTTCGTGCCGAATATTGTCCCAGACAGGCGCGTACGCAGGATTTTTTCAAGGGGGGGGGGGGGGGGTTTAACATTTTTAAATCGGGCCGAAAATTTCGCATCGACTCAGCCAGCCGCTGAATAAGCGGGGGGGGGGGGGTGGTTTTTTTTAGGGTTTTTTTTTTTTTAGGGGGGTTTATACACATAAAAATACCAAGGGGGGGGGGGGGGGGGGTTAACCCCTCAAACACCCCCCCCCCCCCCCCCTGCATACGCGCCTGGTCCCAGAGGATGTGTCTTAAGAGGCGTTTCTCTCTCTCTCTCTCTCTCTCTCCCTCTCCCTCTCTTTCTCTCTTCTTTATATATATATATATTTTTTTTCTTCATTTTTAATTATTTTGGTATTATTTTTTTTATTTTATATTTTCAGAGAGTTTTTTTAATACTATTTGTTATCGTATCAGGACAATTACCCCATAGGACAATAACCCCCCCCCCCCCTCGAAAATTACCCAAGCACCTGTTCTTTAAGGGGAAGTCCACCCGAATACAATACGTTGATTTTAAATAAAGCAGTTTTTTCGGGGGGGGGGGGGGTAATTGTCCTCGGGAGGGGGGGGGGGGGTGGCGACAGGCGCGGATCCACGGGCTGCGAATTTTTTTTCCGTACTCGAGAGAGCAAAAATCCCATGTGCGCATGCGCGTGGACTTATGATTTCTCTGCTACTTCCCATACGAAATGTACATGTATTCGCATGTACTGTGCACGATTCGCGTTCTACGAGTAAACGATGGCATAGTAGTCTTCAAACACAGACTCTGATTTGCCAGTTTGACAAATCAATATGCGTATGTGTCGCGATGTGCTTATTCAAGTCTGTGTAGTTGTATGATTCAGACCCAGTAGTGCATATGGAAATACATTGCAACTTGTATAGAATGGTATAGTAGTCTGCAAGCACAGACGCTAATCTGACAGTTTGACAACATACTAGTAGTGTGCTGAGAAGTACTTTATTCAAGTCTGCGTAGATGTATGATTCAGACCCTACTGGTGCGTGCGTTAGAAATGCATCTCAATGTGTAGAGTGTAGTATAGTAGTCTGCAAGGACATAATAATATATTGTGTATTGATGAGTAGATCTAGTGATTTTATGCAAGTTTGTGTAGTTTAATGATTCCAGACCCAGGCCTACTATCGTTTGTTCAGAGCCAGAAGGGCATTCGTTGTGTTAAGAGTTAACATCCTTCTGGCTCTCAGCAGACCATGATTATAAATAAAAGTAATACAGAGAGTGCGAGCATACTGGAGGGAGAGCTAGAGAGAGAGAAAGAGAGAGAGATAGAGAGAGAGAGAGAGAGAGAGAGTGAGAGAGCAGTGGCACAACACAGAAAACTACGAAAACTTGAATAAAAGCACTACTCAATACACAATAGGCCTATATTATTCTGTCAAACTGTCAAAGGAGAGTCTGTGCTTGCATACTACTATGCCACTCTATAAGTTGAGGTGCATTTCCAATACACGCACCAGTAGGGTCTGAATCATAAAACTACTCAGACTTGAATAACACTATTTTGTCAAACTGTCAGATTAGCGTCTGTGCTTGCAGACTACTATGCCACTCTGCAAGTTGAGATGCCTTTCCAATACACGCACCAGTAGGGTCTGAATCATAAAACTACTCAGACTTGAATAACACTATTTTGTCAAACTGTCAGATTAGCGTCTGTGCTTGCAGACTACTATGCCACTCTGCAAGTTGAGATGCCTTTCCAATACACGCACCAGTAGGGTCTGAATCATAAAACTACACATATTTGAATATAAAGCACTACTCAAGACACTATGTTGTCAAACTGTCCGATTAGCGTCTGTGCTTGCAGACTACTATACCATGCTATTCAATTTGGGATGCATTTCTGTAAGCACTAAAATGTCTGAATCATACAACTACTCAGACTTGAATACTAGTACTATTGCTACGCACGATATATGCGTAATTGTTTTGTCAAACTGGCAAATCAGAGTCTGTGTTTGAAGACTACTATGCCATCGTTTACTCGTAGAACGCGAATCGTGCACAGTACATGCGAATACATATGTACATTTCGTATGGGAAGTAGCAGAGAAATCACAAGTCCACGCGCATGCGCACATGGGGTATTTGCCCTCTCGAGTACGGAAAAAAAATTCGCCCACGGGCTCAATTCTTTCGGCCCGGCTATGGCAAGCCCTTTGTGTAAAAACTAGATAAACTCTGTTTTTCTCAGATAAACTCTGTTTTTCTCAGATAAACTCAGTTTATCAACAGATAAACACAGTTTATCAGAAAAACTCAGTTTATCAGTTGATAAACTCAGTTTATCAGTTGATAAACTCAATTTATCAAGAAAAACTCAGTGTATCAATGATAAACTCAGTTTATCAACATATAAACAGAGTTTATCAGATAAACAGAGTTTATCGGTTGATAAACTCAGTTTATCAGAAAATCTCTGTTTATCAGTTGATAAACTGAGTTTATCATTGACAAACACAGTTTTTCTGATAAACTAAGTATATCTAGTTTTTACACAATGGGCTTGCCATAGCCGGGCCGATAGAATTGGGCCCGTGGATCCGCGCCTGGGTCCGCGCCTTATTTATCCGCGCCTTATTTATAACTGATTTTCCTTATAAAATTAAAAATAATTATGGCGTATATATTCAACATTGAATGAACGCCAATAAACAATTACCCAACAACAACAACAACCGCACCTGGGTGGCGACGTCCAAAGAGGTAATTCGTCCAGTGGGATAATTGTCTTAGGTGGCCGATAAATATGATATGCCATCACACAGGCCACAGGGTATTTGACATTCAACAATGAGTGCACATGATGATAGCAGCAGTCGGCTGGGAACACACATGATTGTGTTAAATCATTTGGACCCGGAAGTACTTTCCGAATGCATGCTATTTCTACATACAGAATACAAATGCACATGTTTTCTGCACGCATGCACGCACGATTACGGGTGCATCACCTGTCGAAGGTATCTATTATTATTTCCTACTATTTCCATTTCCTTTACGTTTATTACAATAAGTAAATTGAAATTGTTGGAAAAGATAGCAGGTAAAAATCCAGATTAGAGTTTAAATCCCTGACATTTTTGAAGTGCCAATGCTGCGACTGTTGCATCGGACGCCTCGCGACGTGGCTAGCCAGTGCCAGCGCAGCGCCAGCTAAGCCGTGAAGCTCTGGGGCGCGTATACGTATCGGCTCCAACATCATGCCAGTGAAGGTGGCTGGCACATTCTGCTTGTCTCCGGGGGCCCGTTCCTAGAAACCGTCATAAGTCTAACTTCTTGACTATCCCATTGAAACTCGTGTTAATTCTATAACACACGTTTCAATGGGATAGTCAAGAAGTTAGACTTATGACGGTTTAATCTAAGTAGGAACGGGCCCCTGATCTCCCCCTTCCATCATCCATGGCCATGCGATCGCGACGAACCTGTCATTTTACTAGTTTTACAAACTAGCTTCGCTTCGGCATCCGCGGAAGGAAGATTCTTTCTACTTTTCTAGTCACACAACACATTTTGAAATCAATAAACAAAATTACGCAAAATAGGCCTAGACCTAGGGCTAGGGTGTAGGTCTAGATCTAGACATTTTTAATTTTAGAAAAATATGAATGATGAAGCTTGCCTGCTTTACTTTATTAAGAATCATAGCATTTTAAGTCTTTTCACATGAAATGACATGAGCATGCATGATGAGGTTTACATTACAGACGTGTGGTGCATGGTGTTGACCCTGGCCAGAATCTCGCATAAAATTTATTTGTATGAAAAATGTAAATTTTGTGTTGATATTCACCTGATAATTATTTGATGTTGTGTTTATGAAAATAGTGATTAGATCTATCATCTAGATCATTAGTGTAAAAGTACAGGGAGTGCATGTGTCTGAGCTGAATATGGCAAGGCTTCCCTAGACAGCAATAACCATCTGATTTGGGTCATTTCTTTAATAAAACTGACATTTGTTGTCATTCCCCAATACAGATGGCAACCCAGAGATCTCGTACCGTGGGGATGGCTATAGGCCTATATGTGCATACTTTCGTCCACGACATTTTCTCCCCGATTTTCTTTATTTAGATCTAATTTCCTGATTTCTAAATCAGATGTAAATTAGGTCGGTATGTCATTTGTCCTAATTACAGTTATCAAAATTTGATAACTCAATATTAAATCGATAATTTACAGACTTACTTATATGAATTATCCAATTTGTATCTCCGAACGTTCATGCACTCGGAACATACATGTAGGGCTATATGACCCGGCGGCCAAAATATTTCCGGGTCAACCTACCAAAACATAGCCAAATGGCCAATCAGAGCACTCGCTTCGTGGGAGTTCGTTGGTCAAGCTGGGCTTACTCGTACGTAGCTACGGTAGCTATTGGACGTTCGAAAAGAAAAAATGAATATTCATCAACTAACACCAAGACGGATAATGTTGACGACGAGACTTTCTCGGATTAATCATAAATTTAGGATCTAAATGAGCAAGCTATCGTAAGTCAAATAAGCTATATATATGTTATTTTTAATTTGTGTTATAATTGCAGCAGTTATGAGGATGTAAAGAGTGAAAATCTCGTTGCATATCTCATTCATCGCGGTCCGGTCGAACCGAACCATTTGTTCCGTACAGTGCCTCACAGAAAGAGGTCCTCAGACTTCAGTCTCTGTAATCGGAGGTCTAGTGGAGCCAGACGTAGTCTCAGTGGAACAACCGACGATTAGAGAGACTGAAGCTTTCGGTCTAGGCTTCCCATGCCTTTTTTCACCAGACTACTGTAAACTCTGTTATTTTTGCATGATTAATTTTACGCAGTGAGCAAATCCAAAACATATTTGCGGATTCTTAAATTTGCGTTGCACCCAATTCAGCCCGTTCAAAACACATAAGAAGTCGCGGACACAGACTTAAGCGTGAAATCCGCAAAAATTAATGCACTGTGAATACTACCACGTTAGCAGTAGTTGTCGTTGTGAGGTGTCGCACGTCTAGTCTTAAGAAAAAAAATTGTTACTCTTGATGCCCCTGAGGAAGAAAAGACTGAAACCTTTAAGAAGACTAAATTGATTTTAAGGTGGTAGAGAATGTAAAGTGATTAGGGTAGCTCATATCCTAGACAGAAACAATAACCATCTGGTATGGGGAATTATTTAATAATGTAATAAAACTGACAGTTGTCAACATCACCATACACAGACATTAACCTTGTCACAGATATTTTTAAAGATGTCCCCAGCAATCTCAAACAAACGGCATTGCATAACCCCCCCCCCCCCCACCCACTAACCCAAATGATGCGATTCAGTCTCTGTATATAGGTGGTCAGTGGTGCCAAACACAGTCTCTGCGAATCAACCATCGACATCAGAGACTGAATTTTTTCACCTACTCATATCCATGACATGATGTTCTTATTGAGCATGGTATATTACCCCTTTATGACCCCTAATTTATGCATCATTTACAGGCTCTATAATGGCTGATAGTGATGCAGAGAAGAGGAGATTGTTCATTGGTGGTTTGCATCATGAGCTCAAAGAACAGGATTTGAAGGAGCGTTTCGGAAGACATGGATCCATTTCATCTTTAAGACTTAAGACGAAGAAGGATACAAAAGGTAAGTCCTCTCCTTGAATGATAAAATGTGTTATTTTTTGAAAAATCAGGCTCCAGAAATTGCAGCAAGGAACAGACTAGACAGTTCATTGTAACTGGTGTGGTCTAAAATTTGTAGTATTTTTTAAACATTGAGTTTAAACCATTTTAATTCAAATAATCTGACTATAATATAATACATGATACAAGTTTACAAAATTTATGTTGTATATATTGTTCCATTGTAAAGTTGATAGTTGAAGTCGTTTGAGAATTTGAGCTTAACATATTTTCATATTTCTTTCTTTTGACAGGAAACCCAATCAAGACATTTGCCCATATGGACATCGTTCTCACAGATAAGGAATTGAAGAAATGTGAGTATCACAAGTATCACATTTTTAGTCCCATTTTTATTGGAAAAGTTACTTGATTAGCTTTAGTAGATTTCAGATCATACTTCTGAAAGATATTTTTCAAGTCTGTGTAAGTTGTGAAAGCCTAATGCCCTAAATTGAGGTTTACAAAGAAAAACACAAGTTCATGTTGGGATGTCAGTGTACCGAACATGCTTAACCTGTAGCCATCTGTATTTATGTATTTCCTTCAATATTACTGTAACGCCAGTGGAAACCAAATTTCTATGTAACTTGTTTGCAAAGACCAAATCAAATATCTTTTCTCTGACTGATTATCTCCTGTTTTGTTTATAGGTATGAGTATTTATAATAACACAAAGTGGAATGGAAATACTATGCAGATACAGTTGGCCAAGGAGAGTGACCTTACAAGGTAAATTTAACTTTTACTATTTAAAAATGTAAAAAATATATATTGTTAATCATCAACTCTGCTGCTAAATGTCATGTTTACAAGTAAGGAGTAACTTTTTGTATAAGTTTAAGGTCACAAATTTAATGGTCAGTTACTGTTTGTGAATTACCCGAAGGCATAGATGCAATATTTGAACATATATAAAGTTTCAGATTATTGAACAAACTATTAAATATATGATTGAATAAAATATTCATACAGTGAGACAGTATGCTACTTTTATTAGACAAATGTCTGTATGTAATTGCTATACAAGATTTAAGATACACGTATTAGAGCTGAGTCATCACGGGTTTTCCCAAACCCAGGTTTGACTTGAAAATTTTGTGTGCATGCAGCGGCGGGAGTTAGACTATTTAAGTTGCTGTTCTAATAATGCGACAGAAAAGACAGTTACTGCTTTCAAAACAATAAAATAATCAATTAAAATAAATTAAGATGCTTTAAAAAATAAATGGATATCCTTCCAGTTGAAGGTAGGTGTTTTTTTCGCTCAAAATTGAGGCTGCAAGAAAGGGATCACGCTTCGTACGTGGTACCGAGTGCTTTCAGAAATGGAAGTGGAAATATGACCCACTGAAGACTGAGCAAGTTAAGAAAGTCCCACACACAAGACTAAAATGTTGATCAGACTATTACAATCAAATCATAATACTAATAGGCATTAATTTAATTGTCAAAATATATCCACTACATAATGATTTACCCTTGATATTTTGATGAAGGAAAATAATTTAAAGCCCTTGAAATAACATCGAAGTGCCTTCCGTTCGTTCCAAAAATTTGTGTATAACAGCAAGCTGAAGTTACAAGTCATGTTTTGTTTACGTTGCTACACCGTCATCTGAGCAAGCATTAAACCAATTAAAAAACATCACGTAAGACTTCAAGGGATGCCAATTCAACAAAATTACCATAAAATAATTATTTGCTTTGACAAATAATACTATAGATATTCATAATATCTTACAGAAATAATGATATTTCATGAGCTACGTACTCGATATCGAGTTCAGCTAGCCATCATTTTGATCTCATCTTGTTACCTCTTCACCTCATAATTGATTTATTTCAGACTAGAGCGAGAGAGAACTGCAGTGAGTACACTGGACGAAGAAGACGTAGTTGTGAGACCTAAGAAACCATCTCATCAAGCTGCTGCGGTGAAGAGATTGGAAGAAAACTTTGAGAAGGCCGGAATCAGTGAGTTTGTGGTCAAAGGAAAGGTTCCAGGAACACAGATTGAAGGAGAAAAGGTAGGATGTTGCTGTTTAGTTTTAGTTCTAAGCATCATTAAATATAAAGTTGAGTTCTGGTCATGTGATTGCATTGTGAAAGAAACTCGGTGGAATCTATCAGAAAAGGTTGATCATCTAGCATATAAGTATTCGTGTGTATTGCAAGGTTCTGGAATCATCAAAATGATAAGAAATTTGGCCAAACCTTGGCAAAGTTACAAGCACTGTACACAGAATGATGTACATGGGACTACACAAGCACATGGCGAAAAAAACCTACCCCCAATTTTTACGATGTCTCATGTCATATTTAGAATATGGAGGCATTTGAAGAGCCATGCTTTTCAGGGAACATGTTTAATCTGATGTTCGTGCATAATAACAATGATAATGCTCACAAATAATTGTTCACCTCTTCCCAGAACTCAACCTTCTCTTTAAGTTGAGTAGTCAAGAACTGAATGTCATAAAACTTGTCACTAGTAACTACCACAATACAAGTAGACTCCAAGTGGTGGGTTTATCACTTTGATGAGTCATAATGTGAAGATATGATAATACTGTGTTTGGATAAGGTTAAGTACATGTACATGTACATGCAAGTGATGCAACAGTGTATTGTGTTTTAATATATTAGAAATATATTCATGATATGATGGACATAGATAATTTGAAAGTCAACATTTAATTTTCAATAGTGTGGAATGTAGATATGACATAAGACAAAAATAATAAAAGTGTTCTTGCAATTGATTTTTCTTTTAAGTTTTGATGATGTGGCTTACACTTTCTGCATTATCTGACTCTTATAAACAGAACTGGATCGTTGGGAAATATGGCCGTGTCCTACCTGTGGTGTACATCAGAAGGAAAGACAAACAGAAGGTTGTCTGTTACGATCCCTCTAAATTTAGTCATCACCTCAAGAAGTTCAAGGAAGACGACAAAGTAGATGAAGGAATTGGAATGGCGAAAGTTGACAAATTGACTTGGGACCTGCCAGAGAGTAACTCTGAAGTCTCCTTGAAAAGAAAGGGGATTTTCTCACAGGCAAGACCTGTGATGTCACAGAAAAAGAAAATGATGAAGAAAGATCAGCTAGCATATAGAAAAGAGCCAGAATGTGGTGTGCCAAAGAGAGGAGTAGACAGCTATTGTTCAGGCCAAAGTGATAGTGACTTTGATGATAAAGATGATGATGACAGACTTCCCACAATCGAGGACCATGTCCAGGTGAATTCAGGTGGTGCAGAACAGCCAAATGATTTTGAAATTGTCAGAGACAGTGCATCCCCATTCATTCAGAAAGCCAAGTCAAATACATTGACGTTTGAATCAGAGCCGGGGTATGATTCAGATGACAGGGATTCTGTTGATACTGATGAGCTTTGCACCTTAGTCAGATCGTCAAAGAAGTCTTCTGGATCTCAAACAAATGGAGTCTTGAAGAGGAAAGAGGCATCAAAAATGACATTGTCCACAGGAGATAAGCAGGCTGGAACTACCAAGATGAAAAGAGTGAAAAAGGCCCATAAAGAGGAAGAGGAAAGTGATATGTGCAAACAAAGTGGTGAAAAGATTAATGTCACAAGAATTGAAAACAATTTTGCTGAGGTTGGTGAAAGTGGCGCTGACTCTGATATTAATGATGATAATGATAGTTTGAATGGTGATGACACTACTGATAGTGAACAACATGAACATAGTGAGGAGGAGGAAAAAATGAGTGATATGAACACTGATGAAGATGGAATGGATATATTGAAGCAGGATGACGACTACCCAAACGATGATGGCCCCGTACCTTCATTGAACTTTGACCCTCTCATCCTTGATAGGTCACATCTTCAAGGTCATAAGAAGGCCAATGACCTTTCAGAATATCCAGATGACGATGAGCAGGAAGAGGAGGAGGATGAGGAGGAGGGTGATGATGATGAGGATGATGATGAGGAGGAGGAGCAGGATAGTGATGACAATAATGAGAGTGACACTGGAGAGGGTGAGACAGCTACCCAAGATTCAGATGAAGAGGATGATGACCAGGAGACATTGGGTAGCCCAATCGCTAGATTTGACTTTGAGCCTCTTATCTTGGACAGGGCAGCAATGAGAGAGAGCATAGGTACAGAAACAAATGGAGACCAGCCCGATCTAGAATGCCGTGCAGAAGAAAAGAAAGAGGATTCAGATGATAGTGACTCTGATAAGGATGATGATGCGATTGACGAGGAGGATAAGAGTAGCGATGAAAGTAGCGATGCCGGAGAAGAGCAGAGTGAGGAAAGTGACAATACAGAGTCTGATCAAAGATGTGATGATACATTAAACAATATAAAGGAAATTAAAAAATCAACCGACAAGGAAGGTAAATCAAAGACTTTGCCCGAGGTAAAATCATCAGCCACAGTGATAGATGTAGAAAAGCCCCCAGCAGAATTACAGCTAAAGAAGGACAAATTTAGTCAGGACATGTATGACAAATCCGGAAGGCTGTTGTCCAAAGCTGCAAAGAGGAAACTTGCCAGAGAGGAAGCAGAGAAACAGAAGCAAGCTGATGAAAGAAGAATGGAGTCCATGAAACGACAGCAGAGGGCACTATTGGATCGCCAAGTTGCTATCAAAGGAGCTCTTTCAGCAGTGGTAAGAATATGTCTATTTTTCAATTATTTTATTTTGGTGTGGTTTACTGATATTTTTTAAATTTCAAATGAAATACAACATAATATTAAAAAAAATAATGGTTTGTACGTTCAGTCACATGATATATCTAAGAAAATCTTAAGAATCACATTATACAATCGTATTTGTGTGTCCCTATCAAAATCTGATAAACAAATTGATGTCTATCACTAAAATTTTGGCTTTTTGAAATTGACTTTGGATTGAAAACATGCGTAACAAAATACAAGTTATATTCTCAGTAAAAGTTATTTTATTGATCAGACTTGTTTCAATTTCGGAGACCTGTGGAGGATTGTTCTTATCTCTCAAAGTCATATTAACTTTTGCTTTGAAGGATGATAAAGACAAGAAACAAGGCAAGCATATCACTTTTGACTCTGATGATGATGATCCAGAGAGTGATACAGGGGCAGGAAATGATGAAACCATGATTGCTGGACAGAAGATACCAAGCAAGATCTCTCTCTTTGAAAGTGATTCTGATGATGAGGAGGAGGGTTCGGTGACTGAGAACAGAGTCAAGAAGATGTGGGATGATGACGAGGATGATGATGACGACGATGAAGAGGATGATGAGAGATTCAAGATCAAACCTCAGTATGAAGGTGAAGCTGGTCAAAAGGTATGAAACAGTTCACATTGTCTGTTTAGAGTTAATGTCCTTGGGGTTCTGATGATGTATTTGTATTGTTTTCTTTAGAGCTCATGTAAGGAATAAATGATAATGCATGGGTCACAATAGGGAATAATCCCCTTTACATTTTATGTAGGCCTACAGTTGCATTGCCAGGGGATATAAGCACTGACCAGGAATTGCGTTTTAGAGAATTCAGACGAAAAGACAGTTTGGAAGATTGTTTTAATATAATGTTATTAGAATTCATTTACTGTGTAAAATTGTTCCATTTTTAGTCAAATTTTTAGATATAATACTTTCAGAATTATCTACTTGTGCTAGACATTAAGAGATTAATAGCAATTCAAGGAAAAAAAATGATGTTATGACAAAATGTGATCTAGGAGCATGTTTATTTGCAGGAGACTTTGTTGTTTTGTTATCCTAGACAGTCAGTGAGTGGGAACTTATATAAAACCAACCACGTTTTTATTTGTACTTTACAGCTGATTCAGATGGAAGCGAGATATGGAGGAGATACCCGCTTTAAACTAGATACAAGATTTATGGATAAAGAGAATGAAAATTCAGGAACAGGTGCCATAGCAGAAGTCAAAGAAAGTAAGAAGTTTTTATTTTAACAATGATCTAGAAATGTATTTGAGTCTATTTAAAGAGAAGGTTGAGTACTGGTCATACCATTGCATTGTAAAAGAAACTGGGAGCAATTTGGAAGATTGATTCTGTAGTCCATAAGAATTGAACTTTACTGTGAGGTTTTTCAAATCCAAAGAAAGTGACCCAAATCTTGCTTTGCAAACAGAAATGGGTGTACAGGCCTACACCCACATGTGACTGTTGTGTCATGAAAGTTTGGCTCAAACTTCCCAGCTATTTCACACCAAATTTCAAACTCCTTAGCAGCAGAAATTTCAACTATGATTTTTTTCTCAATAGAGATATAGAGAAAGCTCACAATGTGTTATCTTTACCAGAGCTCAGCCTTCTCTTTAAACATTGTGTGCCTGCACATACAAGCATCTTCCATGTAAACACTACCTTACATACATACTCTGCATGTGAGATGACTCGATATTTCGAAATTCCCCCCAAAGAAACACAGCTGACATTCTTTCTTTATTTCACCTGCCTCTTAGATGCTGAAGATGACCCATCATCTAGTGACCTACAGGAAGAAAAACGTAAATCACTGGCTATTCTTCAGAACATGTTAGGCACACCAGTGGTTGCTTCGTCTAAACCTGTAGAGCCTAATTTCAAGTAAGATAATGATATATAACATAAGATATATAAATAATGTATGAGATAATAGAACAGCTAGAAACCTCAAATTAATTTGGTTCTACTTAATTATTATGTGATGGCTGTATATCATCTGTAGCTTTTCGTATATACATTTGTGTGTTTGTTTGTGTGTGTACATTTTACAAAAGGTGATGCACATGTGGGAATAAATTCTGTGTTAGAAAATCTTTAAATTGTTGCAATATCAGGCTGCATATTGCATACATGCCTCTTTTGCAAGTTTTATATCTATATACTATTTTGGTAAATATGTGCATCATTGCAATAAGTGTATGAAAATCGGATTGAAAACAAACCACCTTTTCTTCAAGATTCCTTGTTTTACAACAAATCTTTAGATATGAAATAGTAATAATGGGAATATAAGATGTAAATATTCCACTCTTCTTTTCATCCAATAGGGATCCTTCTCAGCTTCACTATGATCCAAGTCGAGATGAACATAGCAAGTATGAGCTTCAAGAAGCTCATGCAGAAGAAAGGTGAATATTGCTGAATTTGTAATGCTGAATATATGTTTGTTATATAAGTGAAATTCTGATAATGCTCACATTTGAATTGCTGCATGTTACACTTTGTGCTACATCATGTACATTTACATCCCCAAATGATAGTGTGTTAAATGTCAGTGCTACATGTAAATGCAATGTTTGACCAGACCATTGAAGATCTTATTTCTTAAAAAAACAAAAATTGAAGAATTACTTACGTTTTTATATAGTCAAGAAAATTACCAAACTTCAAGCTCATCTTTTATAGAATAATTAAAAAACATGAAAAATATTATCATTATATATTTTATAACAGTTTAATATGATGTTATTAGAAATCCAGTAACTTCATATTTCATCATGAGATAAAACATTTTTAATATTCTTCCACCAGGTAATGTTTTCAAACACATAAACTGTGTTTTGACTTTTGAGTTTAGTAGCTTGTTTACTGTAGTATCATATATATATATATGAGAAATTAAAACATCACCAATAGATCATGATTATGATATTAGAGAGTTAGCTACATCAGCTTATAAAGTTAAATATGTGCCATGAATGCATCTTTTTGTAGTGATGCCAAGAAGATAGAAGAAGAGGTGCGGAAAGAGAAACGAAAGATGGAGGAAGAGAGGGCCAAGTTGCCTGAGGTCTCTAAGGAGAAGTTCTTCCAGGTTAGCAGTAATCTCAAGGATGCCTTCAGTGGTGGAGGAGGAGGAGGAGGAGAGTTGGAGGAGGATGGAGATGGAGACGGTGGAGGAGAAGGGGATGGAGGAACTTTCACATTCTTTGGAGGAGATGACTCTGATGGTGAAGGTATTAATCACTTTTATTCTACCTTGTATGGATCATTATCATCTGCAGAGCATGTTGATGCAAAAAAGAATTGCAGTTATTCAAAGTCAATTGAAAACCAAATCAAAATTCAACTTTTATGTGGCTAATTTGAATGAATACCATTTTATGGCAAGTTGGTTTATCTTGTTACCATGCAATTGAACTAGTCATGAATTGTTTTCAATTTTGTTGTTGAAGAGAACGATATTGAATTAACATAGTCTCAATGTCTCAAAACTTATCCTACATGTCCATGCAAATGAAAGAAAAATGTTCCTGTATGAGCTCCAAAATCGAACTATTCGTTTGGTAATTGACTGTAATGGTTTATCTTCGAGAACATTATCCTTTCTAGTTTCATTCATGGTAGCGTTCATTTTTAAATCACTAATATATGGCACTGTGAATTGTTATTTGGTGTGGAGGGGGCAGTAAAATGTTTGACTTCTTCTTTTCACCGTCATAGATAATGTATTTGCTTGTTTATTGTTTTATAGATGAAGTTCCCGAAACTAAGATGGATGAAAACTTAAATACAGACCTTGCTTCATCACTACTTACTTCAAAGAGGTTCAGGTATGATAGCAGTGATGATGACGATGATGATGATGATGGCGAAGGTGATGAAGACATGGAGGTCGATTCAGATAAAATCAAAGCTACAGAGTAAGTGAAATGATCTAAGCAAACTGTTCTTTGTACAACGTTGATTCAATATTTCTTGAATTTAATGATTTTCAAACCTTGATCATGGTTCAAATAGCTATTGACCAATCAAGTTGCAAAGTTTAAGCCAATTAAGCTTAGTCTTTTGAGTCTTCTTTCCTTTAGTTAGCAAGTTCTCACAGACTCAAGATTATTCTCAATGGATAGGTCACCAAGACAGCTTGGTTAAATAACTGCATCTAGAAAAAACAAAGAAAACACTTTTTTTGTTAAATTGTTTTAATAGAAAATACTTAATATTTATTTTGGAAACATTTTAAAAGCATTAAGTGTATTCAACCCTGAAGTATGAACATCTATATTCAATTTATTTTATATTTAATTTAAAGTGCAATAACTCATATTTATATGTTTGTTCTGCCTATAATAAAATTTAAATCTAGAATTGAGGATGCGATTGAATTGTTTTTATTTGTTGTTATGCTCTTGATATGTGTTAAATTGAAATACGTAAACTGGCATAGTGCTTGTTCAGTCAATTAGAGAGAATGAGACAAATGACCATTAATATGATTTCTGTTGATCTGTTTCTTGATAGGAATGTACCTGAGGAGGAATCAGAGGACACATCAGTACCACAGGCATTTTTCTTTCTGCCAGATGACCCTAGACTAACAGGTAATTAGTGGATTTTATTATTATTGGAAATGATGTACATTGTAAGAATGCACATTGTACTTTTCACAAATACAAATTTGATGATAAATTACAATAATTCATAGAAAAAAAAAATTTTCTTCATCTTTTTTTTTTACTTTAAAAGTTTTTTATGTAAACTTGGATGTAAATATAATGCATTTCATCAACAATTAGTACATATAGGGAATCACTTGCATTGTCTTCTGTGCAAGATCAAATTTCCTGAAAGCAATTATTTTATTGATTGTTATTTATCCATCTTTGCAGCTGGATCGCAGAAGTTTTGTCGACCCAAAGACCGAGATGCCATGATGACTACGTGGGAAGAAATGAAAGCTCAGTTGCAAAATGTAAGTGGATAAATACGAATTTTTAGTCATGAGAACCTTTGAAACATGTATCAAAGATTTGTGTGTCATACATATTCTTGATACTCCAGTTGGTTGTTCCTGTGGTGTATACTGCATTATTGTAGACATGTGGTAGTGGCTGACTGATTTCATGTTTCAAGGATGAACAAATACTAAGAGAGTCTTGAAGAAGTCACTGATTTATCTTCCTGTACATTATTCACAGGATACAGATGAATACCAAAATGAAATTCAATTCGTGTGTTAGGATGGAGGTTCAGATTTTCTATTCTTTTGATGAATATTCCAGTAGAATAACACAAGGTTGTACACTTGACTTTATATACAGTATTTTGCAGTCATTACCCTTAATAAATACATGTATACTAATATTCTATTATTTCTATCTCCAACAGGACTTCCGCAAAAGACATCAGAAAGCTGTACGGGATCAAAAGACATCAAAGAAATGGCAGAAGAAACCAGTGAAAAGTTTTAAAAAATGATGTGTGTATGCACACACAAAAGTGGAATCCTGTGATATATGCGAAGAGTATGTGAAGTCTTACATGTATGTATTGAAATCATCATGTGTCTATAGTAACAGGAATGACATGCAGTCTCAACAGCTCCTGTAGCAATGTTATTTTAAAGACCATGTACTTGACTACTTCATGGAGTCTTCTGAAGCGAAATGCTGTAGTATGCAGCCGTTAAGCAATAGAGTGGTCCATTGCAACTTTCATGTTATTTTATTATATTAGATGCCAACCAATCCTTTTTTGTTAGAATGATTTCTATTTTTCGGCGTTCAATTAATGTTCTGAACCTTTGATTCCTCTCTTTTTCTAAAAAAATATATGTGTAAACCACGTAAAAAAAAAAGGACACTATATTCCTTATTTGGTCATGAGAAATTCCAAATTTATCTTTGAAAAGTTGTCAGGTATGATATAACACTGTTAATAAAGCCTAGGAGGAGCAGAGGAAGTTGTAAGGTCTGTCATTAGTGATGAACCTGAGGAATTGTGAAATACTCTTATAACCAGGCTGTTGAAAACAAAAGCATATATACAGTTCCTGTACCAATCAGTAATGACTAATAGGGAAATCAACTTATGATTGTATTCTGATCATGGGAGATCAATTTATACTCGGGAAAGAGTGGGATATATTTAACACGTTTTCTCTTCTTGGTGTACCAAAATTTCCTCTCACACTCAAAAAATGTTTATTTTCTGGGAAGTGCCATTTCAGGATCTATTAAGTGAGCATGACATATGGTATCAAACTAGTAGGCATACCCAAGTACTTTGTGAACTTTGTGAACTTTGTATACTATGTATACTTGTTGTTTTTTATGAACTACATGTGGAAATAAAACTTGAAACTTGAACTTGAACTTTATTTGACTTGAAATTTTATTAGACTCCATTGTGGGGTAGATACGTGTATCTGTCATGCATTTCTGTGCAAACCCTTAGTCCTAAGGTGTTTGTTAGCAGAAGGTTCTACCGGTACATGGGCTTTTCATGGTTTCTTTTTCAGTGTTCATCTTTATACAAAAAGTTTGTTATTACATCAGACCTCACAATCTATCATGATTTTAAGAATAAAGACAAGCATTTTTTTGTCCAAGAATACTAGATCAAATGAATAGAGATAAAAACGTTGGTTGGTATAATCCTCTTACTGCGCGGAATGAGACATGGGTATAACAAAAACATTCATGTAGACAAACAGAAGCAGTCAAATCTTCCCAAAAGGTCACAAACTTATGACAGCGAAGGGCATCTGTTTACTATTAGACAGGGTTCCATGTCGTAAATCAACTTCCGCTGCACATCACATTGCCTCAACATGAATCCACATTTCCTAGAAAACATCACGCTGTTGGGCTTTGTCGAATGAACTTATACCAGTAACCTCAGAAGATTCGGAAGCTCAAATGTTCATCAATCATCGTAAACATCAATATCATGGGACATGTTGCCATGGACACATGACTTCAGTAATAACATTCTATCATGAAAGAGGTTGTTGACGATCATAGGGCAGTGCTGTGTCATGTCAGGGATGCTGAATAATCCCTTTTACTATTCAGAATTGATCAATTCATCTGTCATTTTGATCCTAACAAACTATTTAGAATAAATGAGAAAGGACTGAATGATAAATTTTTTCTTCTAGTAAAATGGAAGGAAAAATAAAACTCACTATGTTTCAGTGATTTTACTTGTCATATTGGCTTGAAATTCCATCTTTTTTTCTTCATTCTGACAAATTATCGAAAATAAGATAAAACAAAACATTCCATGGAATGCATGTGTAATGTTTATCAATCATCGGCTGTGTCATTGGATGAAGTTGGTTGGCAAAGCTGTTATGTGTACATGTATGATTATAAACTGAATCATTGCCATTTTCTTTTGATGATTTCAAACAATAGTTTATGGATTTAATGATATGGAGGAAAAGTCGTGAATAAGGGTATACATGACAAAGAAATCTGATGAAAAATGATATGTATTATTCATTATGTTTAATGAATATGAATTACACATTTATATTGTGTGCTAGTAAGCCATTTCCTTATAAGTGTGATGTAATTTATGAAGTTCTCATGAAGTTGCCAAATATTTGTAACAAAAATTGTACTGAGGTAGATAATTCATCACCTCATGTTGACAAATAACATATAGAAGAATTAAAAAAAAATGCAAGATGTCTGTTATTGTAATTTTATATTTTCAGTGAGAAATGTACATTATATTTATGTTTCATCCTGAAATGTATCATTGGCTCCTGTGATTATAAAATTTGTGCCTTATAGAGGATTGTAATATCGGATTATGTTATAAATTTTTGTTTAATTATGTAAAAACCTAGCAATGTACAGTGAGAAATATTTGAAACTACATGTTATTAAAGAGCAGTCAATGGAAATAAAATGATTCTTCATTTTCTTTATTTGCATGCGTCATTAATATGATCGTTACAAACAGTATTAAAGTGTAGTCAATTTGGGAATCTTTGGTTTGGGGGGATTATAACATTTAGGAGAAACGGTTAAGTAGTTCATACAAACATCAATAGATACATGTATGTAGTAGGTGTAAGTATATGCATTTAAGATATTTGAAGTAGAAAGTGAAGAGTGCACATTGTAAAGCTGGAAAGAGTAAAACAATATTCTTGAAATGATAATTCAAAGTTTCATAACAGCAATTGCTATAAAGTGTTATGATTTCTGAATAGCACTTGGTATTAAAACAAGTTTGATTTCAGAGAGAATTAATTTTATTCTGCATTAGTAGATACTGATACACATTAGTTTTGTGGCCTTGATTTGTAAATTTGTTTATAAGAATGTAACCTATATACATTTTCAAAACATTTAATGATGAAATTTATTAGAAGAATGTCTCAAAACTTGCTATATTAAATTTGCATTCTTCGTCTTCACAATGTGCAACCTTCACTTGTTTTTCCAAGTATTTGTAAAGGATTGTAGTATTAGTATTAGTGGTAGTAGTAGTAGCAGAATTAGAAGCAGTACATCAAGTAAATGTTGTACATAGTCTGATGATATTTGTGCTGAATGAAGTTATCATTTAAGGAGCTATGTAACTTAAGTTTATTAAGTTGATTGTGTTCATGATTATCACTTGATAGAGGGGAAAGGTTGTTTTAATATATATTCAGAGAATAGATAAGGATTAACTAAAAACTTATCTGTACAACTCCTCTTAAATTGTTGAAAGTCTAAGAGAGCAGCGCCTTGTATCCTTTTTTAAAGGTGATATATAAATCCAATTATTATTATTATTATTATTATTATTATGTATGTGACTCATTTACGTTTTTGAGAGATATTATTTTAAGACATTAGTGTTTGGAATATTTATGATAGCATTTGACTGACAATTCAAAGCTTTGTGATTTTTAAAATAGGGTATCAACAAAGTCCTTTCACCGGTATAACCTTTATTTGCAGTTGTCTATAATGATATGAATTGAGTTTATCTTAGTTGTACGCCATGTTCAGTTATTACATACATCTAGGCTGACTGGATAAGGGAAAGCAGGTGCTAATAAAGATGTGCTAGAGTTGACTGGATGATATAATGGATGATAGTCGCATCAAGATAATATGTCAGTGAGTAATTACTATAAGTTTAACAGCTTACGTTTTGTTAAAAAAAATTAAAGTTCATAAGTCAAAAGTTTAAAATGAAATGACACATGTCTTTGCATGAATGCCTGTAGATATATTTCATCTATTTCATTTGTTGAATTTTAATTAGTGGCTTAATTCATCTTTTGACTTGAGATTTTATACAATTTTATGAGGATGATACATTGTGTATATATCAACTAAAGTCACAATATATTTTAGACTGCAAGTGAAATCTCTATCCCTAAGAGGGAAAGCCTTTTTTTCTCCAGTGATTATGAAATGCAGTAACTCAAAAGTTGTGTTCAGCAATTTCCCAAGCTTTGATATGATTATAAACAGTTGACTTCATCATAAATATCAATTATTTCATTTTGCCTCTTACAGTTTCCATCCTGGAGTATTTTGATTCTGGAATTCACCATAGAGGGAGGCATTGAGTATACACCCCCAAGACTCCGGGAGCAATCCAGCATGATTGTGATTTGTTCTATACATGGACCTGGGAGGCTGATCAAGCGGAGGAAATTAGAACTGACAGTTAAGAGTAAGTTGTAACAGACATCATTATCCTTCACTTTTTCTGAGAAGAAAAAATGTTCAATCTCATTTCTTATTGACCTTGAATGCACTACATTTAAAGGACTAGGCACACCAGATTGAAGAGAGACTCAAAATGATTTAAAAAATAAATTGTATTTAATACTAAGGGCGTCTTGATTTGAGCTAAACTCAGGGTAATTTACTAACCCTTGTCATCATAGTGTACAGTATATTTGGATTTAGACATTTTCTTTACTTGTACTAGTAATTTGCCACATTCCACGTAGCATACATGTACATGTCCAAAATAACACTATATTTGTTGAGATAAGATACTGGACCTGTATCTTGAAATCATATTTAAGTGTGAGTGAAACAGTTGCTTCCTTGATCATGATCATGGACTGTAAGATAATATTCAGATGTTAGAAATATTTCAATTGTGTGTTCAAATATGATTATGATATTCAAAGCAAAGCAAATCATGCCCGCTACCTGTCCCTCCCCCCCCCCCCCCAAAAAAAAAGGGGAAAAAAGAAAGAAAAAAAGGATATTCAAATTCAACTAAATATAATCATAATTTTTTTCTCATTCATCCCCTCCCCCCGTTTTTTTTTAGTGTGTCTGCAAAGTGATCGACATTACCTTCAAAGGAAATCATTTTATTTGTCATTTAATGAGCTGAGGTCATTTTACAATTTGTATAGCGATTAATCAATTTCAGAGACTGAGGCCACTGTAGTTATTAATCCATTTTGATCATTTTAAGCCTAGTTCTTTGAGGTTATCCCAGATGTTTCTTCTTATTACAGAATGATTCATATTAATGTTTTCAGTAATATTTATTGAGTCATCCAAGAAGTAGTCATTTCCAGTCTCCTTGGTGACATGGCATTTGTTATTTATGGTGACTAAAAATGTACAAATGAGTAACAAATGTTAAGATATCGATGGAATGAAAAAATAGAAGAAGAAAAAAGGCATTGATATATTCTGATCAAAATGCATTTGTAGTTCATGATGTACAAGCAAGTGACTACAATAGTTGATATTGAGATTCAATATAACTATTTGAAAATGTAGTATCCTAAATAAATTATCTATACAGTTATTTTAAAGTGGCTACTGTAAAGGCACATTAAAAGCAAGTATAACAGTTTCTCCCCTCATTCTCCTTTCTCTCTATCACACTCCTTCTCTTTCTTTCCCTGTATCTGTCTCTCCCCCCCCCCCCTCTCTCTCTGTCTCTGTCTCTCTTTCTCTCTCTCTCTCTCTTCCCTTTTTCTCTCTCTCTCTCTCTCTCTCTCTCTCTCTCTCTCTCTCTCTCTCCCTCTCTCTTCCTCTCCCCTATACCCCTGTCTTTCTCTATGGACATATAATATATAATTCTTGAACAGAATTGTCCACTTCCAACTTTTGTTTTGATAGACTGGTCTCAAAGCAGTCCTCATGGTGTATGTAGCAGGATTAATTAAGAAAGACTGTATATGGATTGAGTATTGTTTGCTTCAATGTTGTGGCTAAGCTGATATCTTGTCAGAGAGACTCAAGATATCTCAACAATAATGA